AGTGATAGCGAATTCGTTACACTATCGAATCGATAAACGTATCTGTAATATCCCTATTTGACTAAAAATTACACCTAATCAATAAGTAATATTATCAGTATGAACACAAATATTTCATACAACAAGACCTTTTGTTTAAATTTAAACAGAGCAAAAACAAGGTTTGTAGAATAATATGTATATATTCTGGTGAACGGTTTTTCACCAGCTGCATACAACCTAGAATTATAATTATGACTAGAATTCTTAAAAAAATGTTTAGCGTTCTTTAGTTCGTAAGGTTGTTCAAAATGCAACCGAAATCATATTCATGAGAGGAATAGAATATAAAGTGTATGAATAACATTACTAACATTGATGTTTATATACCCTTCTGATGTCACCTCATACGGGTCAATGAATTTACATGTACCTGCGGTAACATGTATATAGGAAGAATTGTATGAAAGGCCTCTGTTAGATTTTCTGAACAAACTGCTACAAACCTCTTAGTTCGTGTTCAGTTTAAGCATAAATAATTTAAAACAAAATACCGCCCATATTGTTTGAATACCTTCAACATGAATCAAACAACTAGTCATTATTCGACAGCTATATTTTCAGCTGTTAACGTATACAAGCCTGAATCTTGATAAATACATTTTTCTACTGATAACGTTGCATCTGTACTAAATTCACAGTTTGACATACGAGGCGTTTTATTGATTGATTGTTTTTCAGCTTTACCAATTTTTGTACGATGTGATTCAACAATTCTTTTTGAATCTCTAGTCCAAATTATCGTTGGAGGTGGTAACGCATCAATGTAACAAGGCAATTCAAAACGTGAATGTAACTTCACAGTCAACAATGGAGTAGGAACTTCTAAAAATACAGGAGCATCTAAAATATGTGGAAAATAAGCAAATCGTATGAAAGTAGGGGAAAAATGATTTCCACTACAAAAAACTCATATAGATACAAATTAAGTTCATATTACATTGTTAACTGTAGGATTTATAGTTATGTTATATTCTTGTCAAAAAGTTCAGTAGAGGAAAAAATGCGGTGGCTTGAGTCATTGAAGAGTTTATCTATGAATATGTTGCTCAATAAAACGAATAGTCGTAAGGAATAAGATGTGAATTGGTCAGAAATTTTGATACATAAACTCGATAGGATTAGTTACATAATTCACGAGATTCGTATTTTATACATAACGCGATGGCGTTTGAAGCGAACGATATTTGGTTCGAGTCCCGGAGTCAACATCAACTCTGCGACGCGGGTAAATCCAGCTGAGGAGTCCTAAATAAGACGAAACTCGCTTTGTCCTGGATTCCACTGCTAGCCACTATCCATCTTCGCCTAGAATGCTTGTGAATCAAGGCAATATCGAAGCAATACACACAGTATGCACATATGCCAATAAGACTGATCAACTGAGGTCCTAAATAACAATGGGAAGATACAGGTAAAAAAACACCAAGTGAATTTTATACTTGTTTGTCTTCATTTTACAATCTACAAGAATATATTTTATACCTTTCTTATTTCGGTTGAAAGTCACTTGGGATTAAACTATCACACTTCCAATAAACATAAGTTATAAAAATGAGACTATTAATTTGTTGGTAGGAGTTTATTTCACAAGGTAAGAAAATAAAGCTTATTTGATTCCGTACAACCGACTATACGTTTTAGCCAAGTTGTGATACTATCTCCGAAATTCAATCAATTCATCCATTGATCATATATTTTACGGATCATTACAGATTTCTTGATATGATTGGCATGAAGTATTCCTCTATCTTAACTTATCTCAGGGTTAAATATTTTCAATATACAGCGCACTAAATTGTTTAAACCAAACTAAGTGGATTAGTTCACACTGTTCTGTGACAAAATTTCATATTAACAATCATTTAAATTAACGATTATCCCTAATAAACAAAAAGTTCATGATTAATTTGATTTAATGAAATGTTCTCGATTTAAGTTATCTTGGTTATCAGTAATGATAAACAAGAGATTGATTTGAAATTTATTGTTACTGTGTTACTAATCAATTCAAATTAATATGTCCTCAATTTAAAAAAAACTATCTTATATTTACCTGCCATCTTTACAATAAATTCTTTTTCACTAGTACCCAATATATGCACTGCTTTACAGATGTATGAACCAAAATCATTTTCACTTAACCCATTCAAGTGTAATACAGCTGTATCTCCAGACTTGGATACTGTATTATAGAATTTCTGATTTAAAGTTGGATAAATAGTATTTACTAAAATAAAATATAGTCAGTTTATTGTTAGTAGTATTATTTTAATGATTATTTAAAAACTTAGTGTTTATCTCCTATAAATACCACTTTTAATCTAAATAAATAAAACTTCTAAATATTAGAAATTTTTTTGAGCAAAGCTTGTGAATTAAAACTATATCGAGGCATTCCGCACAGGATGCATGTATGCTAACAAGAGACCGATCAATTGTAGTCATAAATAACAATGAGAAGATGCAAGTCAAACAACACCAAGTGAATTTAAATTTCACTCCATTGCACAAGCAGGTGTATATCGGGACTCAGTAACTAAGTGAACAACGCGATGGAGTTTGAAGCGGATGTTAATGGGTTCAAGTCTTGGGGTGAACATTAACTCTGAGATACAGGTACATCCAGCTGACCAGTCCCAAATGGGACGAGACGCGCATCAAACTGGATTCAAGTACTAGCCACTATACATCTTTGTTTATAAAGCTCATGACTTCAAACAATATCGAGGCAGTTCGCATAGGATGCACATACGCCAACATGAGACTGATCAATTGCAGTCCTAAATAACAATGAGAAGATACAAGTAAAACAACACTATTTGAATTTATTAGAAATTTTTTTTAATTATATATTTTCTATCATGTATTATCAACAAATATACTGTAATTTATACAACTGAGTTCATTCCATATTATGAATTTTAATAACATATTTTAAAGCATTTATTAACAAGTGTTTGATGATTATGATGGAGTTTTTTTTAAGCTAGATGTTTTGATCTTGGAGCTTTCGTTGTACTTCCGAAGGACATCATCTGCACACACTTCAGGTAGAATTTTAATTGTTAATCTCCCTTCATATTCTTGTGTAGTTACTACGATGTATGGACTCAAAAATAAGGAAGTAACCAATAAACTAGATAACACTATTTTAGAATTCTTTTTAATTATTGTCAAAACTGCAGAAGTAGTTTTTCAAAACAAAAATCTCAAGTTTGTATTCGCCTTTATTTAACTCAAGTCTCAATGAAGGATATAGAATTTTTGGAAGATCATAGCTAGAGATATTTGCAGAACTCATTAAATCCGTTTTTTCTTGGACAAACAAAATACGTTTTAGCCTTTCATTATTTTTTTTAAAAAAATGGTGTTGTTCCTATTCTGGTATGAAATAAAATAGAATTTCATGTCAATCAATCTGTCTAACTGTGATTTCGTTTTTTTTTTGTGTTCATAAAGCAAATAAATTTGTAGTATAGTTGACAACAAATCTCCCAATATCTTTCTTTATGTCATCATTTTATGTGTTTGTTTCCTATCATTACCAATGATCTTGTAAATGAACAGAAATTTCACTACAGGTGAAAAAAGTGTCAACAGAAGATATCATTTATATTTCTTTCTTTACTAAGTTATGATTCATTAGATGAACCACATATATATAACACTTATCTTTCTCTCTTCAGTTTCATGAATCTTAAGTATGTCGTTTTTTGACGTACATAAAATAAAGAGAGTTTTTACATATTTTACATAATTATCCATTCTATAAACTAGAATATTTAACTGAATAAATTCACTTCGTGTTATTTTACTCGTATCTCCCCATTGTTATTTAGGACTGCAATTGATCAGTCTCATGTTGACATATGTACATTGCACAAGTAGGTGGCAATCAGGACACAATAGCTAAGTGGATAACGCAATGGCGTTGAGGCTAATGGTACTGGGTTCGAGTCCCCGAGTGTACATCAACTGTGATATGCAGGTACAACCAGCCGACGAGTTTAATTTAGAACGAAACATTCGTCCTGGATTCCGCTGCTAGCTACTATCCATCTTCGTTTAATTTAACTGATTAGTTGTTATTGTCACATTGTGTAATGACATGAACACTAACTATAGTTAGTAGTAAACTTCATAGAATTATTTCATGACTAGTTAAAATAGTTCATAGAATTCTACATGCAATTTTATTCAGGGTAAATATAAATGTAAAATAGTACTGATAATAATGATAATATGATAACATACCATTTGTATCTAACAATTTACCATCAAAATACCAATTGAAACGTGTTTCATTTTCAGCATTAACAGGACTAAATGTACATTTTAATTCTAGTTGACCATAAATTGGTGCATAAATCACATTTGTTTCTGGTTCAGTAAATGATGGTGAAGCTGTAAGAGATTAAACAAAACAGTTTCTTTTTGAATCAAGAATCTGAAATATAATGACTGTATTTTATAGTAACTAGACACTTTGATTTGTTGAAAAGCATCTTGGGATGATCTTTGTATTCTGTATACGTATTACTGTAATATACTCTATCAATTTCTCTCATAATATATCATTTACTTAGTGATAAGTACATGAAATCTTTGTAACGATATTTAAAGATAACGTCAAAAAGCCATGAAATAATATTAACTTACTTTATTCTGTGAATTTAACTATTTTTGAAGTACCAAAAGGGAATTTTGTGTATATTATAGTAATTTTAATAGCTGAGATCATGTGTCGATTAAAACTAGACCACCAAGGAAAACCTGGGAGCACTGGACGGCCATTTCGTCCCATTTGATGTGCTTAAATTTATCAAGCACACTGGTCAAATTGTATGGAAAAAAACTATCTTAATAATTATGTTGTGCATCACAAGTGAGACTGATACTAAAAATGGAGGTATCTCATTTCATCGCTAACTGATTATAGTTCATATTGTAGACACTAGGTTTTAACTTACTGGGTTAAAGTTGAAGTGCTTCCTTTCCGATTTGTAGAGCATGGGTTCTATACAGTTTGAGGTTATGAATTTACAGTTCAGAGTAGTACCGAAATAAAATTAGATTGCTTCTCAGTTTTTTCTAATTTTTAAAAGTTTTAAAGTATCAAAAATTCCAGTCGTGTAAATTGAATTGAGACATTTGACCAAATATAATTTTTTTTCAGTAGATCATCATCGAGCTTCACTCTTATATACTTTAATGTTTACGTGCTTGTATGAAAAGTATTAAACCAATCAAAGGAATTTACGAGACAGTGGTAACAGTCAAAGAGGATAACATGACCAAACATAATAAATAAAGCGAAAAAAACTGATAGTAACTGACAGGTAAAGTAGTAAAAATAGGATTAATAAACATTCTGATAACATGAACGTTTCTACTGACATATAGGGTAGGTCGGAGATTGAAAAAATCAGTTTGTTAAGATATTAAGTTTTAAAAATTGCTTTGTTAAAGGATATAAGTAAACAGTAAGATCAAAAATGTAAACAGAATGAAAGAGCTATGTAAGAGGTTAAGACAACAAACAAACAAATTGCTACATACTTCTGACGAGTCTCGAGTAGGAAGAAATGCGCGCTATTGATCCCACTGCTAGCTACCATCTAAGTTTAAAAAATATTTGTGACTTAATGGCGATATCAAGGCAATTCACTTGGGCTGAACATATGCTCAAAGTGAAATATTTAAACAACCGGAAGGAAGGATTTAAACCAGTATTAAGAATTTGAAAAACTATTCACGAACTCTTATTGTATTAGGGGAGAGATATGTATAGGAGAGTTTTTAAATATAAAGAAACCTTATGGCTTGTGTTATATGTGTGAGATGAGATCGAATCCTATTGAAAAAAACTTAAAAGTATATAATAAACCGTCCTGAATATTTTAGTCCGATCTAATGCATAATAAACATAGACGAAATTTAATAAAACGAAGCTGTGTATTAGTTTTATAAAAACTTTCTTACATGAATTACACTAATGATAAAAAGAATTTACTTTCTAATTAATAAATATTATTTGAATCTTAAAATCGAGATGAATTAATATATTTAGTATAGTGAAAGAATCGAATTATCCTCACTAATAAGTCACTTTGTTATATTACTGAAGTTTATTTGTAATGAGAAGATAAGGAGTAGAGGTGTGACGTAACAAATATAATCCGAAATCACACTATTTATTAACACAATCCTACTGTTGTTTCTGATAGTTGAGTTCATAAGTCAATTGAAGCTAGATCACCATAGAAAACCGGAAACCATGGACGGCTGTTTCGTCCTAGTACGGGACTCCTCAGTAGTGCGCATCCATGATCCCGCCGGACGGTGGCGCAACTTCGTGGATTGGTTGAATTTAGACATTAACACCGTTGGATGCCGGCTCAGTGGTCTATTAGTTAAGCTCTCGTGTGCGAGACTGATAGGCTCTGGGTTCGAATCTTGCGAAGGGCGGGATCTTGGATGCTCACTCCTGAGGCGTCTCACAATAGGACGTAATGGCCGTCCAGTGCTTTCAGGTTTTCCATGGTAGTCTAGATTCAATTGACTCATGAATTCAACTATTAAAATTACTATAGTGTCCACAAAATCCCTCTCTGATTACAATCCTAATGGTTTAAATAAAATATTTTTATGAAGTGAAAAAACGATTACATCACACTGCTGTTTAGCTTCGTTTAGATGAAATACATGTTAAAGTAAACCATGAGTTTATACATACTAAATTATCTTTTTTCATCGAATGTGATCTTCTTTTATCAAATTAAGAATAAATCTTTTGAGTATTGGCTTTACGTATATTCTGATTGATAATACTCAATTTCGTACAGTCATTATTAATGAAACGACTTTAATTCATATAGTCATGACCATTTTATCATAACATTATGAATTGTAAATAAAAGGCACTGAAGTGTATTATTACCCCTTCCAAATTTTTTAAATAAAATTATTTGAATATATTATAATGAATGTAAGCAATTCAGGGTATTATCTGTTTTTACAGTAGACAATATACAGAGATAGTTGAATTTCATAATTTACATCATGAACTGATCTTAGTTAGCTAACCATTGAAAACCAGAAAGAAATATATAGCTGTTTTATCATAGTAGTACCTGTGTACGACCACTTTAGGGATTGAACTCAGGACACGCAGGTCTTGCAGCAAGTGCTTAACCTTATTATTACTGATCTGGCATCCATCGATTTGAGTTTCTAGTTCTAATCAATTTTTCATATTTTGTCACTATGTTTCAAAGCCGTTAGTACGTGACTGTCATATATACTCAATACTGAAATAGACAAAAATAAACTTGAAACCATTTCAAAATTAAGATAACAGTGAAGTACTCTTATTGCGTTTTCTAAAAATAAGGTCATTATCTCAACTTCATGAAATTATATAACAGTACGGGAAATAGTAACACCTGATAACAAAAACATAAAGACAGAATAGCGATTAGGAAACCATTATAGTAGTATTTAGATTATATATACCACTCAAATTATCATTTTTTTGTTGAATTACGATTCATATGTTACAAATAGAAAGACATAAAATGACTTATCAAGTTTAAATATTTTACTGAAATGGACAGAAATAAAGCTAAAATTCAACACTTGAGCATAACACTTTTGACCGCCAGTGTTTTATTGCTAAAGTAAGCACTCTATCTAATGTGCTTCAGACCGACCAAGAAAGTAAATCATCAAGTCATTGCGTCGTACTGTTCCTCCCTACTTAATAAATACCGGATTTATAAAGTGAACGAAGTGTTTTCGGTTCTATATCAAGTCTCATGTGATCTATTATTAGGACTGAGATTATTTCTCCTCTTCGTAAGAGGAGTCATCGAGAGTAATAGAGTGAAACCGAACCAAATAGACTTATTCAGTCCCATTATTTCCCTTAGTTCACAATTGGGTCACTTCATACCAAAGAAGCATAATATAAAACCTTTCACCCAATCCTTCTGTAAGTGTATTTTTATCTTCCCTCTATTTTGATGGAATTTTCCGAAATTCCTAAATCAGATTATTTCCGTATAACCATTATCATAGCTAACACGATATAAGGTTCTTCGGATTATGTATTACTCTATTGATTATAATTAAAGACCATACAATAATTTTTATCTCCTCCTTCGCCATACAACAATTTAACTACACTCATAATACATTCTGTAAAGACGTCAAAGTACTTTATGGAAAAAGAGAAAAAAGAAGACTTATTATCAGTGCAAGTAACTACAGACTATTGAGTTTTGTGGTTAGTTAGTTAGTTTTCTCGAATAATGTAAGTTAGAGTAATTGAAATATCAGTTTCAGTTTCATACAGCAGATACATTTTCAGTGAGCTGTAAATAAGCCACTAACCTTAGAACCTAAAACAAGTACATCAAACAGGTTTTAAACAATACAGAATTTAAAGTTCTTAGGCCTAGAAGCAAAAAAAAGACAGAACTCTAAAACTTTTTCACTTAATGACATTTTACATTCTATAGAAAAGACTAAATAACTAAAAATACACATTCAAATCTATTAAGTAACTACTCATATCAGCAACAGTATTACGTATTTTAAAAGTAAAAGTGACCTACACAATTGTTGGGATATTCAGGAAAATATCCCAAAAATTATTCTATTAAGTCTAATGCTATTCTTGGACTTGGAGATGGTATTACTTTCTTATTGGTCAGTACTTATTTCACGTGTCATTTTCCTACTGGTCAATATTGTACAATGTTATTTTCTATTTTATGGTACGATGTGGTCTGCTTGATTAGTATTTAAACAGAGTGTGTTTGAAATATAATGATTAATATCTCCGAGGCTGAGACTTGCGTTCTGGACTCAACTGGCTGAGCTAGACAGGGAAGCGGGACCAATGAGAACATAAGGCCGTTCTACGTGTTTGCGCGTCTTTGGTCCGATCAATGAATCGCTGTCCTCTAATCTGCCGTCACAGTTATAGCAAAAATATTTAAATATATCAATAATATTCTACTTTTAACATTCAGTTTCCGACATTTCGGTTAACATACATATGTACATATTCGAAAACTAGTCGATAATTACATGTTTTCACTGAAATAAGATTTGACTGAAACATACAAGCAAGTATGATTTACTATCTTAAGTGATTTTTTATAATGTATTAAACAATTGTTTCTTTTTCTTCCGAATTCACTTCTTCTTTAGTCTTGATAAAAGAAATAATCTATAAAGTGATTTTCAGATATAGGTTACAGTTCAATATCCATTGTATCATTCGGTGTCTCTTTATAAACGATATTGTTGTCATTGACACATACTGTACATTGTAAAACAATTGTTTAGTTATATCTTTCTTAGCAAATATTGTGCTACTTAAAAGATACTTATTTACGATTGAAATGTAGAAAAAACGTATTTTCAGAAACATTATTATTTATTATTAAGATAAGTAGTGATTTTACATTGAAAACAATAGAATGATGTTTCTTCTAAACACTATTTGTGTTTATAATCGTTACTTATTTATATCCTTATATATCTACTGTAGTTAAAAGATTCTCATCAGAACTTAGTATATACAGACCGGAAAGTGTCAATTAATGACAATACTCTTTATTTGGTCACAAGCACAAACCGGGATGAGAATACTAAGTCTTCTAAAAATATTGTAGTGTTTCACTAGTCACTATGTATTATACTTGTGGTAGCTGCCCGCTTGAATATCTGGGCTACCTGTTCCTGCCATCTAGATATTTCAACAAGTTATCTGTTTTCTTGTTTGTTTTAACACATCATTATATCTATTGAGCGCACAACCTATTCAGGCGCGTTTATGAAAAGTTTACGATATTTCGCTGTACAGGTTACGAAAAGGTACAATCAGCGACATCATCGTGGCCGGTAACATACATTGAAAAGAACGAACATCATTCAGATGTCACTTTCACAACTGCTGACATATAGCTGGTGATCGCTAAACACTTACCGTCAGGATCGATCAAAAAATGAGAAAAGGAAACTTGTTGAAATACGTCGCGCTGAGAATTCTATATTGTACAAAAAATATAATATTGAATAAAGCTAATAATGACAATAATAATAATACAAGTTAACTACTTATATGGAAAATTTAATTCGGTTGTACAAGTATAACCTACTGTATTAGGATTTCAATCAAAAATTATTTGATCTCACTGTTTTACTTAAGGGATCAACATGGTTAAAAAACAAGCGCTTTTGCAGCTTTCACTTAAAATAAAAGTTTTCATTGTTGATATAGTGGGAGTATGGTAACATGAAGAAACGTAATTCTATTATGCCAGATAAACATTAAATTTACTAGTTAAACAATTAGCTATATTGATGAGACCATATAAATAGTGGAGTATCGGATCCTCAATGAATGGTATTATGATTTCGTGTTTATCATAGGGTCTTAATGTTTCGACTTAATTCTAGTATTCAAGATAGGTGAGTATAGCTAAGAAGTTTGAAATTAACAGGAAACTGTTGTCTATATTTATTTGATTTAGATTGATTTTCCACTTAATGTTATACAGAATGAACACCTTCTCTAAACTGACATTACCTCCACAAATAATTCAACTGAACAGGTATGAAGTTTTTAAATCAATGATAAAGCCTAATACATGAGATCGTCTTAATGTAAATTAAACTTCAGTAATTTTTATGGTGTATTCGAGTCAGGAATTCATTTCACTGTTATGACATTTGCTTGATAGAAGTCATTTGGGTTGGGAAAAAAAGCCTAAAATTCTCAATTTATGAAATTTACCATTTGAACACTTTCCAAAATTATTAACCCATAATTTGAATATCTTGAGGCAAACACTCCTGATTTCAGAAATTGAACATCTTTTAAATATTATTTCAAAAAAATCGTTTACGTTAGAAGTGTAATTTAAAAAAAACTAATCAAAATGAGATAAATAAACACAGTCGGCAAATGAATTAACTCACTAGGTGTAGGCTCATGTATCACTCCAACGGATGCTGATGCACATCGGCTATGTTCTTTTTTCATTCCAGAGAATTAAGAAAAATGAAAGAAATGATTATCGTAACATTTGTAAAATAATTGATATTGTTGATTAACATAAAGACTTTAAGAGTATGTTGGTATTATTGTCAGGGTTGGATTTGATAGCTTCGAATAAATTGAGTATTGGGCAGAAAGTTAGTTCTTTAAGTTATTAACTTTCTAGTCAAATATGATAAATCAGATTATTTACATCATTATTACCACTATTATGGTTACTGTGATTCCTATTATTTCTATTCATTTATTTGAGTTTCACCCTTTGCACTTTGTTAGATTGTTGAGTCTTAACTTACTTGCAGTTAAATCAGCCATTTTTCGTACAGGTTGACTTGGTGTACCACGACCATATTCGGTAACAGCAACTATACGTAACCAATATTCTTGTTCGGGATTTAAATGCTCCAATGATAAACGGTTTCGTTTTAAACCAGATGCAAGAACTCTCCATATGTTTTCATTGTTTGTGCTTTTAGATTTTTCAGAGTTCTTGCCCACATCATTAGTTTCACGATTTATTGACTTCTCTACAGCTTTAATTTGTACTTCAAATGTGTATGGAGTAAATGTCCTGTCTAAAGTATACGATTTTGGTATTTGCCATACAAGTTCTGGCGCAACTCTACCAATTAAAATATCTGACGGTGACTCAACAGATGGTCGCATAAATGTTAGATCAGGGATAACTAAAATTTAAAGCAAAGGAGAAAGTTTCTAATGATCAATATCTGTCTTTTATAAGTGAACTAAGAATAAATGGGTTGACATTAAGTGAAAACACACAGGAAATTCTAGGAATTTACTTAGTTCTGATAGCGGTTTGTAATTTCCTATTGTCCATATTCAGAACTGCAATCGATTAGTCTTTTTTGCTATGGTCATCTTGGGCGGACTACCTTGATAAGTCTTTATTCCGCAAGTTTTAGTATGTTTGATATGTGACCAGCATTAGAAGACATAAGTTTTTTTCTGTTTGAGACCTGCGAGCTGAATGTACATCAGTCTAAGTGCTGATACTTAATAGCTTTCACTTCAGATACTTGACTTGTTATCTGTTACGTTATTGAGTTAAGCGTTATAACTGCTGTAATTGGGTGATCGGCTGAGTTAAATCTACGTCACCACTGTTGCATCCGGATAGCCACTATTATATCCGGGGGTTTGACTCATTTATGTACACATCATGTATGTTGAATCAACAGTCTTACTGCTTTCACCTAAAAATCGAGAATAACTGAATTTACTCGGCCGTAATACTGGGAAACGGAAACCATGGCAGTTTCTACGACACAAAGTCACACTGAAAAGAGCACTAAACGAGTTCACAATTGCCATATATAACAAAATCTATACTGAAATGATACATCAAGTATTGGCTCAAATAATGTCATTTTCTTATCCCATTATATCATCTAAATAATAATTAACTTGGTCAACGGATATGAAGGTACTAATTTTGATAATTTGATTTTAATGAAAAACATTGTATCAGTAGGCATTCAGATTTTCATAAGTGATGGTTGATATTAATTGCAGAAGATTCAATTCTGAACTGACCTACATTAATACTACTTGCCTTTAATCGAAGTAATGTAATTTACTTAGTAACACCATTTTATAGATTTACTAATATGAAGTAATGTACTTCATTAAATTATTGTGTCCTTCATTTTGAAGAAATTGAGAACAAACATTTAGATCCCCAGAAGTCATGTACTACATGCCATTTGAACGATGAAATTAGTGTAAAATTCCACACTAAATTCTATAAATAAAATCAGTTAGAATTTTTTCCATGAAATAAAAGAATGAGTAGTAATATGACGTTTTGGTAAGGCTGAATGAATTTCCATTGACAAGTTAGTTTTATTATAACATTTTACAGAAGTAGAATTAATTTAATATTACTTACTAACTTGTGGTGGTATTAACACATTTCTAGTTGGATGTCCAAAACCGAATTGATTCGACGGTAGAATACGAACATGATAACCAATCAATGGATTTGGTTGGATCCATGTCCATTGGTTTGTATCTAGATTAGAAGCTATTGTTGTCCATTCAATTGAACCTTCATGTTGAATCTTAATAACAAATTAGTTTAAATTAAAGGAATAAACAAAAGTTTAATGAAGACAGGGGAATGGAAAAATTTTGAGTAATGTCAAGGTAATCATCATTCTAATTAAATAAATGAATTAGATATGAATTTATATGAAAATGATTAACACCATAGAATGAAGTCTGATGGAGGTAACCATTGAAAACTAGAAAGTATCGACGTACTATTTCTTTTTAGTTTGGAAATTCTCAGTAGTGCGTTTAACGTTTCATGATTTAAGTGAATTTGAAATTATGAATTATCAAAGTTAAATTATGTAATGCCAGGTTAGTGAGCTTCATTGTAATGCCTAACTGAGTCTTGGGTGATTTCTATTGAAGGGTTTAAAACTGGGATCAAATAGTTACCAAATATTTCCTAGCTTTCGTTTTGAATATGTTTTACCCAACACTGATTATTGTGTGAGGTGAGACATCTTCATATAATGGAATTAGTTAATCTTATTATTAAATTCACTCTTATGTTAGGTAAAATCATTTAAAAATACATCTTACCTACATTCAACAGAATAATGACTAAGTAATAGATTTTAAAACTAAGCACTAAATATGTTACATGAGCAACGATAACAGTAACAAAGGTATTGATATTAACCACCCACTGTATTGACTCAAAAGTAACCTTAAAATGATTAAAACTAAATTTTCACAAACTGTTTTATCCGCGTCGCTTATTATTATACTTGAAAGAAAAGGGAAACAATGAAATTCTCACAACGCAAAGTAAGAACACCAAGACTAGTACAAGTGAAGATTTATTAAACCTAAAACATGACGACGATCGTAGTCAAAATTTCACTCATTTACATATTGATTGGACACTCCTTTTGATTAATAATTAAGACGAACATATGTAGAAAATACCCGGAATTATAATAAAATCACATGCTGTCTATCATGATGTGCATAATCCAAATGAATTCTATACAAGAATATCGTGTCTTGAAATGATACCACACTCAAAAAAATTAATATCATAACACACGAAAACAGAACATATATTACTATGTATAATCATGATATAGAGTTAAAAACGGTGAGACTATAATCTATGGACGAGATAATCAGAAACCAGTAAGCAATTTCAAGGTCACGGAGTCTATTTCAGTACTCAATGCTCACATACGATCAGTTTACAGCGGATTTCAAGTAGAAAGTTATAGTTGAGCGGCTACAACAGATGGGATTACTGAGAAGTTCCGTTATTAGTGATTGCGGTGTTTAAATGACTTTCGGACATTGTGCAAACTATCGTGACGACGTCGTATTTCGCTGTAATATATGTTGGAGGAAAGTCTGGAAAAACGGGGACTTTTTTCTCTAGATTCCGATCGACATCAAGACAGATTATGATAATTTTTGCAAACTGGATAATTAGAGCGCCAGTAACGGTGGCTGCAACCTTTGCAGCAGTTACCAAAGCTGGTAAGAGTACTGTTGAGATATATGTGCAATAAAAATGACAAGCTTGCATCAGTCGTTTGGAAAAATCGGGAGAATTGTAGAAAATAACAAACCAGTCGTTAGAAAACATATTCAATGGAGGAAGAATTGTTAAACAAGACATGTTAAGTAGCACTTCGTTTGATATGATTACCAGGTTCTTAATATATATGATACATCATCTCACAACGGAGTCTTTTAGCGCGTGAGCAGCCGACAAGCTACAAATATTATACCAATTATACTATAGTATGTGCAGCCTGGTACTATAATATACACGGATAACTGAAGAGCATATCGATGCCTATCTATACTTGGTTACGTGGATCGTCCACAGGCGATATTTTGTAAACTCTACTACGCGAGTACACACTAATGATATAGAAGCGATGCGGTCGAGGCTAAAAGGATTTTCGCAACCTTATCATGGCTCTAGAGGTCATTTATTGTGGAGTCACATGGATATGTTCCTGTACCGTATGCATTACGATTTCAAGACTGTAGAGCTACTTTCTAACCGCGAAAAATTATTGAGGTGAGACTATAATTTATGGACGACATTTGAGTGACGCTTGAGCGACCTTCGGAAATAGAACTAAATGAGGGTTATAAACTACTGTTATCTTAAATCTGATTAATTAGACCAAAAATTATAGTCTCGCCGTTCTTAAAGCATGTTAAAGAATTGATTCACTCTAATTTTTTGGTTTTGTATAATATATTTTTACTCTGTACTGACTGTTTCCTGATTGGCCGAAATTTCTCAGGGTCACTTATGAATCGTTCAAAGGACGTCCATAAATTAGAATCTCTTCGATATTAGTTAATAAGAGAAATCGATCATTACAACATGGAAAATGACTTGTACAGTGCATATATGAATGTGTTTGATAAATATTAGGAAAATTTATGAATGGATTTTGTTCAGTGTTCTAATTTTTGGTTTGATATAGTGATAAATGTTTACTGTTTATCTAACAAAACTACACTGTATTGAATGGTAAGTGTTCTAAATAACTGACGATTCATTAGTTTCGAAATTATTTTGATACTTATCATGAATGTTTAAAAATTAACCAGGTAAAAGATAGGTAAGTATGTGACTTATATAATTCTCATGGTGTTAGATAGTCAGAAGTGATTCACAAGAACGTCTGAAGCTAGTTTTTGTTCTATCTTTCACTTGCAAAGAAAATATATCTATAATATCAAGGGATCTGATGATTTTCGTAGGATTCAAACCTACTTTACTGTATATTACAGCAAAAGACTTTATTACTGAGGGATTTGTGGTGGGATCTCGATATTCCATCTGCCTGTTTAAATTTTTAAAAAAGTTTACTAGTCTAATCGACTCGGACTAATTGAAACTACTTTGAATCATCTAACATCATATTAAGTACGCCTGCTACTTGAACTAGTCTTTATTTTACAGTTTGATTGATAGGATCTGACCAACATTATAGAATAAGCAACATGATACAGGTTACTCATATGTGGCTTATTAGTACAAATTTAAATGAGTTCAATGTAATTGGACATATTTCGTGTGAACTAATAAGTGGACTTGGTTTTTGTTTTCTGAACACAAACAATCTTTTCATGATTAACATCACGAGGAAGCATATAATGAACAAATCATAGACAAATCAACATTTTGAAGCAGTTCAGTGAAGAGAATTTGACTTGTGGAACTGAGAACTCGTTAACCAATTCATTGATAAGTTCCGATAATCTTACGATATTTAGTCAAATTCAACAATCCCAATAGATTATAAGCGGTATTCTGATGATTAAACAAGCGAATTTATGTTTTCTTAAAAAAATCTATACAGAAGAGTCGGTGGAAGTATGTTCTCATTTTCTAAACATGTATTTGATTTATAGTACTCTGTAAGAAACTGAAAACAAGGATTGTCCAGGTGAGAGTTGAATGGAGAATGCTGGTGAGCAGCCTATGCTCCTCGATGAGGGGTAAAAGGTGTAAGTAAGTAAGTAAGTAAGTAAGTAAGTAAGTAAGTAAGTAAGTAAGTAAGTAAGTAAGTAAGTAAGTAAGTAAGTAAGTAAGTAAGTAAGTAAGTAAGTAAGTAAGTAAGTAAGTAAGTAAGTAAGTAAGTTTCAAGTGCTCTCAGCGAGCCATGAAAGTTTTAAGTTCAGTCAATAGTGTTGTCGAGGATATGTTCGGCTTAACACGTCTGTGTTACAAACAACAAAATTCAATAATCTTCACAAAGAAACATTGAAAATAATACTCAGTCTACAGATTTCCACATTACTTGAATTGCATAAGTAGTATCTTTTTGTAACACTTGTGGTATTGATAAATTCAAAATATGACTTGTATACAATGATTGTATATCAGGATCGTCCCATGATATCAAATATTCCTCAACTGATGTAACGTTGAAATGTGGTTTAAAAGCTGAGAAATCTGGAACTAAGAAGTCTGTTTGGTAATAAGAAAAAAAATAGAATACAGAAATTTGAATGAATACAAAATTCACACGGAAAATAATCTTTGATTTGAAGTATTATATATGAATAACTATTCCAAAGTTGAAATATCGTCAGAGTAAGGTTTCTTGAGAATTCTACATACATTAACGAATACTAATAGGAATTTGAATGCCTACAAATAAACTCAGTTTAAAATGGATGTTGATATCGTGTTACCAATTCTATCTATACAAAACACAGTGTACTGTTTTATTCGTTATCAAAAAGTACTCACAACAGATCAAGTTTATGCCCAAATATACAGTAAGAAATCCAAAACTTAAAGTCATTTACTGAGATATTTATTTTTAAAAGACTGTGAAGCTTAGTTAAAAGTTAGTTCAGCATATCATCCTACAGCATAATAACATTTTAAATTGATGTTTTAAAAATGAGAAATATTGTGTTCTTAGATTCAATACCGTTTATGATCGTGACTTTTCACTGATTATTGGTTTCAAACCATGAGGTTAGAACTTACCTTTACTTCCTCGTTTCCAAAAATTCTCTGTTTGATTTCATTTTACAATAAAAACATTTTTTTAAAATCTATTAAGCTATTCTGAATATTATCAGAATGGGAATTTGTGGAGATGGTAGTATTTTTTTAATAGTTGACCTAAGCTAGATCATTATTAAAAACCTGGAAGCAATGGATGGTCATCCAATGGTGGTTTAACTTAGATCGACTCATGAATTCAACTATTAGAAGATATTCTGAATATATCTAATACTCGTCAAAATAAAATAAATGTATAACTATTAACTTCTTGTATTTATCACCCTCAGCCATACTCAAATCGCTTTATATGCAAATAAGATAATACTCAAAACTACAAATAGAAATATATTTATAGAATTAACTTACCTGTCTTAATACTAATATTGATAGGTCGACTAGGTTTAGTTTGTTGACCATCCACATTTGCAATTATTCTACAAGCAATTTCTTTATCTAAATATTCAAAATTTGATAGTATAATTTTGTTATGAAGATTTCCATTGATTTGTTCTCTAATAGGATACCAATCACCAGCATAACCATCTCGTCTTTCAATTGAAAATTTTACACGGTCACATATTTCAGCTGATTCATCTGTATCTAAATGACTTGTCATATTGTATGACTGATTTGGATTTCTCCGAAATCCTAATGCATCAATCACTGTATCACCTAAACGCCAACGCAACTGAATTGTATTTGATCCAAGTATTAGAAAACGAAAATCTTCAATACATCTATGATTGTAAGCAGAGACAGAAAAAAGTAAATTATGCTAGTGTATATGAATAAACATATTGACAATAAAACCATTCATGTTCACACTGTAAGCGTTTAACGAATTATCGAGTATATGACCACAAATTAAAGAGAGAATACCAGGTGAAATTATCCATATGGACGCCTCGAAGAACTTTAGTGATGTGACCAACACAACTATTCTTGTTTCAAATAAAAAGCATCGACCATTAAACACGCACACAGACTGAAACTTCTAACCATTCAAAAATTAGTAATACGAAGAGAGAAAGATCAACAACAACTTACTACGGCAGAGAACAAACCCGCTTCCAACTGAAAAGGAAGTTAGGAAAAGACGCTGAAGGTAGATAGGACAAACATCAAACTGCATCACGAGGAAAGCCCTAACTTGTAATCCTGATGGGAAGAGGAAAAGAGGGAGACCAAGGAGCACATTGCGTCAGGAATTGAAATCAGACATCAAAAGAATAATTAGTACTTGGAATTGTTCAAAGGCAACGATCATCGAACGTCTATATTGGTCAAGAAATTCTAGGTTATTCATATGGTATATTCTGGATTACTTAAATAGAAGTTATGCATCTTCACGTTATATCCCATTCAGAGACAAATTATAGTATCCAAAATACATTTGAATTTTTTTTAAAAAAAAGCCTAAATGTAGGGAACTCTGGCGTATAACCAGCAACTATATGTATTGCAACCTGAAATAAATTTATTATTTCTGTAGTGTAGCTTTTATGACTATTTTATAGAATTAGCGGTTTAAACTTTTAAGCCAGTTGATCTTAAAGAATTCACAAACAGAATTTATATCTGGTTCATAAATCCAAACTTCCATGGGTTAAGTTACGATAAATTAATTGTATTCGAATGTGTCAATGTATCTATCGATTATTTATTGATAATATGCCGTATGTTATGCAACAATTTTAACCTATCTAGAATAAATAAAAGGGTGCTTAAGAAAGTAATCACATCGATAATAGGCCATCTAACTAAAACGAACTGTACAGTAAACAATGATCAAATGTTTTAAAGAATATGTTTATATGTTAGGTAGGTGGAGTAGATCCGGAATAACTATATTATTTGAATCTCAACTGTAAAAGATGGTTTTACAGAGATCTCTATTCGACCCTTATTTTTATTACTGAAACGGTGTATAATCGCAGTGCATGAAGAATTCAGGTGGCTAAAATCAATTTATTGTTTGATGCAAGATTACAGAGTGCCTTCATAAAATATGAAAATTATACATGAAATAAATCATTTGCACATCCATCAGTTATCTCCTACAAACTTAATCGTTTCTTCATTCCTGTTGTTATTTCGATTACTTTCAGTTTTATTCTCTCCTCTTTTCATTTCAATCTTCTGCTAGCAGGCGTTTCACTTCCGATTGGTACTACATACTACTTATATCTGTCAACATAAGTAACATAAATGACATAACGACTGTTGGATTTCACGGTATACATCAATAAATGGTCTTAATTAGACATTTATTGAGAATCAGAAAGCAATGAGCACCCTTCTATCGTCCTAGATAAGAATGGTCAACAATGAATATCCTACCTGGGACCAAAGGTGGAGCATTCAGATCTCACACGGAGCGCATAATTTTTAGGTCTAAGTGGTAGGTTCCGATAGTTTCCATTTTTTGTTTTATTTTCCTGGTGATATTTTACGATCATCATTTATTGCCATACCGAGCGTGAGACACATATTACCTATTCCAATGGATGTTGATCGAGGATTGTTGCGAATCGACTAAAACTAGAAGTTTAAATAACTGGATGCAAGCTCTTTAGTTTAGTGGTTAAACACGTGCCATGAGACCCGAATATCCTGAGTTTGATACCGACTAAGGTTCTTTATATACATTGGTAAGGAGCATCATAATAGTGCAAAAGCAGATGTTCAGTGCTTCCTGATTTCCAATGGTTATTTATGTAAGATCGTTCCATAATGTACACCATGAAAGACAAATAAAATTTATCATCTATGAATTAGTAAAAAGCTGAACTAATTTAAAATTGTTAGAAAAACTGGATGAACTAAACTTTAACTAACCTTTCTAAAGTTGTTAACAAAAGTGGAAGTTTGATTGGATAAGAACTTGAACTTGGACCTTCACCAAATTGGTTAATAGGTGTTATTCGATAAATAAGTTGTGAACCGGGTTCAGCTTTATGGTCATCTATACTACCTAATAATCCAGATACAATACCAATCTGTCTCCAAGGCGCTAAGTCACTCAAGGTTGTACGAGCTTCTATTCTATAGTCGATTTGAGCATGATTTTTAATCTGTCTTAAATAATTGTCGTTCAATGGAAGTTCAAAGTTGGGAGGTTTCCAGGTGACACGAACTCCTGCGGTACCTGATATTTCAACTGGGGGTGTCAATTTTACCTCTATATCTAATGGTACTGGAGGGCAGATTTCATGTAACGCTGGTATACGAAGAATTTCATGGGTATCCAACCAATTTAAATTGCCTTCTTTATCTTCTTGTAAACTAAGAATCCTAACAAACTGTTCTGTTTTACCCGGTTTCACATCAAGAACATATTGTTCACCATGAATTAGATCGTCTTCTCTACAAACTACTGTCCAGTTAGACATATCAGGTGAGGAATTACTGTCAGCGTCATTTGAAGTTTTACGTTGAATTCGATAGCGACCAAGTAAGTTATAGTGATCATCAGAACTTTTATTTATATCTGAACTTGTACAACGATCCCACTTGAGCGTGACACCCAGTTTGGGATCGACTGACATCATTTGAACCTCTCGTCTTGGTATCTTACTGGATGAAATAATCGGCAGCTTATCCAAAAGACTTAGGTGGTCGTATTGATCCCTGTCATTTATTTTATCTGATATCTGACTATTTTTTCGACAGTCTTGACCTCTAGATATCTGAGATGCTTTCAATCTGTAGCTTTTAGTCGGACCACTTTCACCGAAATCATTGTAAGAAAATATCCGAAATTCAATGGAACTATTAGAATTGGCAGTGTTAAAAGACAAGTCATTTCCCACATGAGTTTCTCTAATCACGGATTCTACAAGATCTCTTGGGAGAGGATAACCCGTCTCACATTCACTAATGCCACAGGCCAAATCAACCCAATGTCCAGATAATCCACGCCTCCATTCAACTCGATACAAAGGTTTTAGTCCTTTTATACAACTGGTACAGAACTCTGGCATGTATGCAGGTTTCCATAGGAGTCGAATATTACTTTTCTTTACTGTGATGTTATCTCCTGGGTGGCTTATTGCTATCCATGGAGGATCTAGTGATAAATCCGGAACTAATGAATTAGGATCGAGTTGAACTATTGCCATTGGAGTGGGACAGGACTCGCCATATCTATTTTTCGCAACAATACGTATAGCAGAGCTGATGCCAGGTCGTAAGTGACAAGTGTAGGATCGAAAAGGTATATCACTTGCCACTCTACACCATTCTGATTGAGATCCTTCCCTAATCTCAACTGCGTAAGTTACTTTACCAAGTAATTGCGATGGATTTAACGTAACATTCTTGTGCAGTTGGTTTGGTGTAAGTGCAGGCACTGCTGGACACCATCGAATTTTAATAGCCGTTGCTTCTTCAGATTCAACCTCTGGTTTAACTGCTTGCATGTGAGGAAGACATGCTCGTATAGGTAAACGAAGTACCGGGAAACAAGGTGGTCCAAGGCCAAATTCATTTTCAGCTACTATCCTTACTTGTACGGGATTCAAAGGACACGCAACGTCGTTTGAGATGTAAGCTGAAACTTCGTGTAAGTTGGTTAGTACAGGTTTCCACCATCGACCTGCATCATTACTAATTTCGACATTATATGTCACTTGTTCATTTAGTGGATCCCAGGCAATCTTGAAACCATCATCGTTTACTTCAATTAGTTCAATATTACTTACTCTTGACGGCAAAACTGGAACAAAGAGTAACCAGTAGGTAAAAGGTCGTTAACTGTCATATTCATTGCATGAGTAAATCAACTATATATTTAATAGAATTAATTGAGAAAGTTTTTAAGTCATATATATATATATATATATAATTTAGTAGTTGAGATCATGAATCAATTGGAGCTAGACCACCATGGAAAACCTGGAAGCACTGGACCATGGTGGTCTAGCTTCAGTTGACTAATAATCTCAACTATAATACTATAATATCCACAAAACCCCCTTCTGATATATATATATAATCCAAGTCTTTGTATATATAAGAAATTGTAACACCATCTCTTCCTTGGACAAATAAGCTTTAATAAAAGATTTTATTTATTATTATTTTTCCATACTCTTTGTTTCTCTTATTTTTCTTCAACCCATCCCACACTTATTTCAAATATACGCTTCATTGTCCAACTTCTAGTTTTTATGAATTTTATTTTAGCATCGATATATTCCAGTTATTGACCTATTTCTCATGATGAAACATGAATTCAAGCATGAATTCTTATCATAACAAGTAAACCTATCGAATATCATTAATCGAAGGGTTGTTTTTGTATATTTTTTAAATAAAAATGTTTTCATCCCATTTCATCCAATTAGATGATTTGTTTGAAAATGATAAGTATTGGTTAGTTATTTTGAAAAATCGATATATAAAGTAAATATTTCTCGATTGTTCACCTTTTCTCTTAAATAAATAACGCACCAACGTACAATAGTACGAACGTTTTACAGATACAGATAGCATGTTCTTGAATACGTTGTATCTGGTAGCATCCAACAGCGCCGTCAGAAATAATGGAAAGGCGCCCAACTAACATTATGCAGTTCGCGATTCTCATTTCGATAAAAAAGACAGAAACCGTATATTAAATTTGTTTGTTGGAGAAGTGATCGTAGAGCACCTAGTGGATCTTCACAGCCGATTAAATGAAGGAGGGAAATTGAATAGTGTTATTATATTGTTCATGAAGAGCTGCGATAAACACTCAATGTCCGGCTTTCGTATATTGTAAATTTAATGAAGGCTACTTGACTGTTGTTCGTGGGAATGTGCATCACAGTCGTGAGTGCAAGTCCCTGAGGTAGTACAACATTTCTTGGATGCGCAGGTTAACGGATGCGGAATCTACAACAGCGCGATTTCTGCTGATTTTGGCGACAGAAGCATTCAATATTGTGAACTTCGTTTATCAGTCTTATGGGAAGCGCGTGAATCCTCAAGATGTTTTTAACATGCGCCACAAACTGTTCTCGCAGGTCACCTTCCAGATAAGCAATGTGTCTATTTATACTATAAATGGTAGGTGATTACGCCAAACTGAAAGCTCACACTATGTCACTTGGTGGGTTTTGTGAGTATGAAATTGATGACGAAAATGATCCTAGGTACTTTTTCTTCGTAATTGCCTATCACAGATGAATTTGACATCGTCTTCTTGATATTATTGGTTTCATGAGACCTACATAAAACCAATAACGAAAATTTATTTTGGTATCAAATTGTTGTGTTGGATCTCTAATCGGTTGTGAAGATCTATTAGGTGCTCTACGATCACTTCTCCAACATACAAATTTAATATACGGCTTCATTACATCAGTCGACGTGTTCACGACTGTTGACGCCACAGGCACTTACAGGCTCTCCGAAACTCCATCAACAACCTCACTAGCGTCGCTATTGACAACTATTTTCCTTTTTTAACTTGGACAGCCAAGCATCCAAAAATACTGTACTCTTAGTTCGGCGTATGTCTGAAAAATAACATAGTGCTGTTGATAAATTCACGCATCAATTGGTTTATGGAACGATGTCTCAGGCACCATAAATGGATGAAGCAATGGCAGGAATCCAACAGACAAATATTGACAACTATCGAACGAACGTGGATTTTTATGCCACGCCAAATCATGAAGAAGAGGATATTATTTTAATAAACTTGAAAGAGTCCAATGACAAACGGAAATGTGAAGAGACTAAGAGAAGGCTCTTTTTAGGGTCACACACGAATAGATTTAATCTTTTAAATTCGTTACAAATTGCATCAGTAATTTACATTTTCTCCAGTGAATTGAATGATCTTACAGAAGATCCTGGCGTATGTGTAAGGCAATGAAAAACTATTTAACTTATGAGTGACACTAAAGTGTATTGAAATTAAATGAAGGAATATTTTTATGATCTAAAAATCAAGAATACATCTCAAACTAACATTACCTGAACACCGTGTTGGTCTAGCAGTAGACTCGTACGGTTCAGTTGTATCATGCTCGTAACTATTGGGTTCATATAAAGTACCTAAATTTGAATTCAAAAGAAGTAACAATAAGTTGTGAATGAAATAAGTTGAGACTAAATATCTATTAGTAACAATTATTGGCCAGTAACATGGTCTTGTTTACCTATAATCTACTGTTTATATGAAAGCTGCAAAATGTGATCTATTCAACAAATCAATTTTCTTGTGTAGTGTTATTTGACATATAGAAGGATTACTGCTTACATTGTTGTTTTAGTATTTTTTATAGGTGTTTATATTTGTCGATTAAAGTTTTTTATAAGCTGCTATTTTTCATGAACGTCCAATAATGGTACTCAGTTAGTTTGTTTAGTTTATGGGAAAATGAACCTTTATAACTGTTATGATATTGAAACATCTACAGATGTATGCATATATGCGTGTAAGGATCGCATTTGACGATTGTTAATAAATAATACTGAAGCTAATTAAAACTGACGTATTTTATAGTATAACCTAATAGAAATATTAACACTTAGAGTATCATAAATTATGCATAGTTAAGGTTAAATATCGTTCTTTTGCTCAATAAATCAACTTTCTTCGTAAGAACATGATGTATCTTACAAATCCTGTTTTTTTATTTAGCTGTCAGCTCCGTAACTTTGCTTCTAATTAATACATCCAGTCATTTCAATGAATCATTAGAAATGTTCCGAACTTTGTATTACATGATACTTCGGATTGTCTTACGATTGTCTACTACAAAGTCTCAAGATAATTTGATATGTTCATGAACCATTAATAGTTTGTTTTCTAGCTATAAAAGACTTTCTTTAATTCTACTGTCACTTTTATCATGTTGTTTTACTTAGTTGTTATTTAACGTTTCTTTGTGCACATAAATTTACTTGATCTAATTAACTGATCAATTAATTTTTAAGCCTAAAGAGTCATAACTGGAATTTTTTAAAATTCATTATTCCAAATGTTTCTGCATTTAATGTGTTCCATTTATAAAAACGAGAATATATTTTACTTTCTAAGCTTATTTAAAAAAATATAAATTAAACGTTTTGAATTTTCCATTTGAACTAGAAAAAGGAGGACCGCTGAATGCCCTGGTACGGTCGAGGGTGAGGAGATTCATCCCTCCTCTCGAAATGCTCTCACATGGTCACGCGTATACAGACACTGCCAAGGAAGTCTTACTCACTGCCTTCTTGCGGCACCGATGTTGTTTACAAAACTGAGAGGACGAAAAGCGAATGTCCGGAGCTTAAACCGAGTTAGTGAATATGGAGGATCTAGATAGGGCGGTTGGAAAACACTCATTCCAAACCAGTGGTGCTCATGGGCTCCAGCATCCTGAGGGAACTAATGGCGTATGAGCCAATTATTGGTCACCAACTACAATGGGCCCGAATCTCCTGACGTCGTTCCACTGCCTTGTGGATTAAACCTTTGGGTCGAAGGCTCCGAGTGCGACTTCTCCTAAGAAAACCACCTGTTTCGTTTTGGGTATCCAGGCACTATCACAGCCCACACACGAATCAAGTGACTTTTGTATCGCATATGTATTCCCTGCCCGTTTGTACTAATATTTATATGTTCAAATAAAATAAGAAAGCGGAAAACAGATTGAAAATTTAATATGTACTGCTAGTAAGACATTCATTAAAATTCTAAATTCGACTTTTTATTAATTTACTAATGATGTTTTTTCATTTAGTTAATAAAATTAAAGATGTAATGTATCCTATTCATAAATTCTAACAATATTATAATACAAAAACAAGTTTATTAATTAAGGTCCCAGGTTTTTCATGGTGGTCTAGCTTCAATTGAATCATGATTTCAACGATTAAATCATTAAATAGCGTGAATAAACAATGATCAATATTAAACTAAGTAAATTCATATTTAATTATAAAGATTAGAGAGAAAATATGTTATCAAAAAAGGTTTTGTGGAGACTTTAGAAATTTCAATAGTTGAAATCATGAGTCAATTGAATCTAGATCACCATGTAAAACCTGAAAACACTGGAAGACTGTCTCGTTCTAGTATAGAAATCCTCAGCAGTGCGCACCCACGATCCCGCCCTCCGCGAGATTTGAACCCAGAACCTATCAGTCTCGCACACGAGAGCTTAACCAATAGACCACTGTGTTAATGTCTAACTAGTACGAAACGGCCGTCCAGTGCTTTAAGGTTTTCCATGGTGGTCTAGCTTCAATGGACCCGTGATTTCAATTATTGAAAAAATATATTGTCAAATTGTTTGTGGTTAACTTACTTTGTATATATAAAACTGCTTTTGTTTCAGTTTGACCAAGTACATTTGATGCAGAACATATATATTCACCATAATCTTCATCTTTTACATTCTGTATAATAAGTAATGGATTAATATTATCATTATAGATTTCAATTCTTTTGTTGTTTTCAATTTGAATACCATTATGTTTCCTATAATAAATCATAACAAAAGTGAAAATGAATTATGATATTAAAGATTTATTGAGTACCTTCATTAAGTTTCTAAATTATTGAATATGAAGTAGAATATAGTACTTGTTTCAATGTAGTTTGATCTTCCTTAATTATGTGTAAACTTTAATTCGTTTTTTTGTAACCACTATATTACAGAGAAGCTTAGAATGGCTAAAAATCAATAATATACAAATAGTTTGTTTGTTTATATTAAAGAATTTTGATTTGTTACTTATTCTGATAGATAAACAAGTAAGCAGTCTTCTTGTACTGAAAACGCGAGCTAATCTAAGTTAGATATACAATCCATATTGATAATTATCATGTACTCACTAATAACTAACTTTGAGAGATGATTTACGAAGTTCTAGAGAGAAGTCATGGCTAGTGAAGTTTAATCATGTCAAGTGTGAGGAGAGTATCCACTAAAGACAACGGGAAATAACCACTCATTATTTTGGACTGATTGAGATCAAATGTGTACAATAATGAATCCTAACTTACTACTGTAGAAGTTAAGCGTCCTAACATGAAACTTAAAGTCCTGGGTTCAATTCTCTATGGCAGAATCGTGGTTGTGCACTACTGAGGAGTCCCGTACTAGAATGAAACGGCCGTCCAGTGCTTCTAGGTTTCCATTGGCTGTTTAACTTAAACCGTTACATGATCGCGATAAAATTAAACGATCACCATAACCTGTGTTTGGTGTGACTTGTCTTTATTTGAGTGCCTATCGATGAGATTTGTAATCTCTTAAAAATGAAGCTCAAAAAGGTAGCCCAGAAGTACTCAAAATGGCAGACGGAGCCTACCACGGCTAAATGTGGATAGATATGCTTTGGTAATACATCACTGTACCTAGATCTTGCCATAAATGGTAAGATGTTATCCAAGTCACATACAGTAGTGAGATTAGGACAACTTGTCTTCCACAAAACAGGCTTCAAAGAAGATTTCCATGTTTAAACGTCTTCTGGTTTGAATAATTATTAACCTTTACAACAACGAGTTACGTATTTTAATGTATTCGACTGCTCCTAGAATACTGTACAATCATTCTTTTTAGTATTTGCATGAAGGAATCCCTTTAGAGACGATCGACACTTCTCATTCTTGGGATTGATTATATCTTAAACTATAGGTCCAGATATAATAAACATGGACTTAACCTTTTGTGCGAGTAAAAACTTGAAGTGAATCTAATCCTTTTCGTTGAAATACCTAATGTACTATCTTTTGCATCCTATGAAGCAATTCAATATACGAAAACCTGATAGTTATAGCATTCATAACCGTTTGTCAGTGAAACAATTTCATTCTACATCCTCTCTCTACATACTTTACCAAGATTTTGGAACTGTAGAATAATTTATCACAATCTGACCATGAAACAAAACCACTCCCAACCTTTATTAGCTACCCTGATGCTTACTCCTCCTCTGAAAACGCCTTAAATGTGCTTACACACATTAGTATATCCCAGTTCACAAATGAGATTATGGCAGCTTTAAGTGTTTATTCGTTTTTATTACTGAGCCCACTAATTAAACCTCTCTACCTGCAGATATTTTACATTAACACTGTCCCTGGTAACCTTAACTGATTGGCAATCTCCACAACCCCAAACTGAAAAAGCTCTATTCTTTCACATTTCAGATGCCACATTTTTCATCTATTACCGCGTTCACAAATACATAAACATGTCTCACATGAATCGTTTTGACCGGATTGATATGACATTAACTTGGTCAGACCTGTATTTTGATTGATTGCACTAAATGATACAAAAACCATATGGGAAGTGTTTAACAAAGATATCTGAAGTCAAACCAGTCTTACAATATTCTAAGATAAAAGATGTAATCCCAGTCTCATCAGTAAGTATTCTGTACCACTGGTTCGATCGCTGTTCTCTGGTTGGTGTCTTTATGTAATGTTTCCTTTCTAAGTGGTGGGATTGTTAGCCCTACACTCAACCCTTCTCCTTTACGAGGGCTTGAGACTATCAGTAACCGTAGCGGGACTCCAGAAAGAGTTAACAGACAGTGATATCTGGTATTGCCCATCGGTCATTCGTGGAAGTAACGACTGTATCTAAGTGATGCTTTCAACGTTTTATGGAAAAAATTGTCTTAAGTAGTCGGAAGCAAGTTAACTTACAAAAGTTGGATTTTAAAGCTTGTGAATGAATTTCCTTCATCACAATAATTCACAAAGATTATTGACAGAGAACACGGTTAATTAGTAAAAGAATAGCTAATAATCATTACGACATATTTTAATGATCGATTTTAAGCAATCTGATTGTGAATTATTTGTAAGATTCTATGAAAATTGGGTTTGTGGGCAACGTCTATGACTGTAATCATTATGTATAAGAAATGACCATTATTCCGATTAAGTAATTTCGTTAAAAAAAACGATTAGCCTTACATACTACTTTGTGGTACATGAAAATCAGTTAATCTAAAAGATAATGAGATAAGGTAATTTTAATTTACTTGAACATAAAGCATTTCACTAAAACATCCATTCTGATCACATAATTGAATAAAAGATCTTAATCCGTCAGAAACTGGTTAATTCATTAATGTGAAATTATTTTCCTTGATGAAATCTGTTTATTCAGTAGGTTAATAGATAATATTCGAAACTTTTTGAGAGACATATAATAGATATTGAATATCATTCAAAATCTAAACAAGTATCCAAACATACATAAATATACATACCTAATACAGATTAACATAGTTACTAAAATTTTTTGTATATTTCGTTTGCTTATATAATAAGTTGATATTTGTACTTAAACGGATAATTTCAAGTTATTGTTCTCGTAAACATGCTTTCTTAATAAATAAATAATATATTTGTAATATCCCCATGAGTAGAAAAACTAGATTTTCTGACGTTTCATAACTCACTGTAAGCCGCTTCATGCCATTTTCAACGACCACCAAATCGATTTCAAAAATATCGAAGTATTACAAAAAGGTTTTTCCAATTACAAAGAAAGGAGGGTAGCTGAAGAATTCTATATAATGCTTAATCCTACTTCTCTCAATAGAAAAGAAGGCCTTACCATACATCCTACTTGGACTATCTATCCTAGCCATCTAGTCTGATATTATTCACAATTCACACTGTTATCTTACTAATTAAACCCTATCCTTTCTCACCATAAAGGTCACACATTTTTCATCCTCAACAGTGCACACACACACAGATTAACAAACATGTCGCTTATGGATCACCTTGACCTAAATGACATAACATTGATTTATTCAGACTTGTTCTTTGGTTAATCACATAAATTCTCATTGTTCCGTTGCACTATTTAAACTTGGATTGATTTTGATTTGGTTATTTATTTATTCTCTGAAGAAGTGACTTACACTGAGTCACGAAACACCAGAAAATCTAATTTTTCTACTTATTGTGATATTACGGGTATATTAATTTATTTATAACAATCTACCCAATGCTCAATTTATTCGAACCTATCAAGTCAAACCTTGGTAATGATACATACATTCTCAATATTAGAAATAAATTTTAAAATGTAGAAAAAAATTATGACATATTACCAAATAATTGTGGCAGGTGGCTCAGCTACTAAACGTCCACTAAATCTAACCGTTTCATTCACTTCAGCGGTGTAATCTTGAAGTTTCTTGGTAAATAATGGTTTAAGTCCTTCTACTTGTCTATAAGAAAAACAAGACGAATGAAATGCAGAAAAATGAATTTGGAGAAGTAGTACTACACAATGAAATGAAAAGATTATTGTTGCTTTTAATTAACTGAATATGAATGTGTGTTATGATTTGTTGATAAGTGAACAATACCTGCATATTATGTTGTATTTGAGATTAGATATAAATAGCACAAGTTATGGTCGGTATTACGTCTAAATGATGATAACCGATACCATTCAGTAAGGATCATATTCTAACATAATTCGTTATTAACAAGCCACAACATACAATGTTTTTTTAAGTAGAGCTGGAAAATTTAAAAATTCATTTTATAGTTATCTAATTGTTGGTTTTGAACACTGACAAAAAAGCAAAACATTTATGCATAAATCACATGTGAATGTAAGAAATTTATTTATTCAAATCCTTTATTTTTAATTGTTCATCTCAGTATGGTCAAATGATATTTTTAAGAATATTAAGCAGAGATGGCTAGCAATAGAACCCTATTTGGAACTCTTTAGTTGAATGTACCTGGATTTCAGAGTTAATGTTCACTATACATCTCTGCTTAATGACGCTTGTCGCTTATTAGATACATATATATTAGAATGGTAATTTTAATGCCAGAAAGATTTCAAACTGACCCCCTATAACAAACGGAAGGACTGAGAGTACTATCAAGTAACTGATTTATTACTTAGTTGTTTTTAAAATAAAAATTTCCCTTTTCGACGTTGTTATATATTCTATAGCTTTACTGAAAATTGTTAACAAATTTTTTTGATAGTTGAGATCATGGGTCAATTGAAACTAGACAAGCATAAAAAACCTGGAAGCATTGGTTTTGGTCCTATTTTGGGACTCTTCAGTAGTGAGCATCCACGATCCTGATTCGTGAGATTGCGACCCAGATCCTATCAGTCTCGCGCATAAACTCTTAACCTGTAGACCACTGAGCTGGCATCCATCTGTGTTAATGTCTAACTTCAACTAATCCACGAAATCGAATGACATATCCACTATATTTTTTTCAAATTCATCATTGATAATGATACTTTTCTACCCTAATCAATTCTTAAACATTCCTTTTGTATAGATTTAGTTCAAACTTTATTACAGAATTAATTGAATTCTTTCTTGTTAGTAATATATTTGCATGAAATTTCAATTTTGTTTATAACTGATTTTTTCGGCATTTCACTTTATTGGGTTCATAATAGAATCATTTAATGCCTATTAACTTATGACCTTATCACTGAAAACTAAAAGTAAGTTCATTTACCGCTTAAATAAAATGTTAATCATTTATATAATTAACATTTTATTTACTTAGATTAACAACCGAAAAATATTCAATAAACCATTTAATTTATCAAATAAACCAACTATAAAATGTTAAGTAGGTAAAATTAATTAAGTTTTTGATTAAGATCATGAAACAATAGATGTTAGATACCCATATAAAACCTAGAAGCATTGGACGGCCGTTTCGTCTTATTATGGGACTTCTCAGTAGTGAGCATCCATGATCCCGCTTGCAGGATTCGAACCAAGGAACTTCAGTCTTGCGCGCGAACAGCCATCCAGTTCTTCTAGGTTTTCAATGGTGGTCTAACGTCAATCGGTTCATGATCTCAATCAAAAACTTAATCATCTTCATAACCCTATTCTGATAATTGCCATGTGCTCACTAGTGACTGGTTTCGTCAGGAGATTCTCGGAGTTCTGGTGAGAAGCCGTAACCAGTGGAGCTAATCCGTGTCGGGTAGAGACAGGTATCTACCTCAGTACAATGAAAAATGGTCGCTCAATTTCATAGATTGGTTAAATTTAGTCATTAACACCGATGGATGCCGACTCAGTAGTCTAGATCTTGGGCGTTCGAACGCGACTTTTTATAAAAAGAGAACGAATATTCATAAAAAAACGGAACAATAAATGCATGTTGGTTGTATACTTATATCATGTTAAATACAATTATCTATCTTCAAATAATTTTCATTTCTATTCTGTTCTTTACATAACTGCTTTATCACTACTACTGTTGTTATTAATAATAAAGATAGAAAGTCAGTAAAGTCAGTAGTAATAAACTTACGATGGGATATATAGTTTCGTTTGTAGTTTTTGTCCATTCACTGACAGATCACCTGTTGTATAATATTCACCAGATGGAGTAACAACACGTAGTTTATAAGTTCCAGTTAAATCTGGTCTAACATTTGGTATTGTCAATGCAATCCAATTACCAGTTTGCCATACAACAAAATCGGCAGTTGATTCAGGCTGCCAATATAAAAAAAAGAAAACATAATTTTGATAATTTAGAACAAATGTCCTGTTTAGTGAGATTTATGTACAGTTGAATCATATTAACTGACTACCGGTGTGTTGATTCATTATACAAACAGCGATCACAATTTTTCTTTAGATTATGATTACGGTTTAAAAATAATTGAATAATCAAGTCATTTAAAGAGAAATTAAGCTTGCATATAGTTAGATAACCGAAATATAATAGACTTATTCAGTTAGATAATTTGATCAGACTATATTCTTAACTTCGTATGACAAATAAGCAAATTCTACACTTGATAGACTATCGAACAAAGTAACAATAAGAAATGGAAGAACTCATATTTCTCCTGTATATTACACTTTTTATCAATAAAATAGCATTCGGAAAAGTTAGAAAACATTGATTAGTTAGACAAAGAGATACTTTGAATAACATTAGTTTGACATAATGAATATATTCCACTTATCACAATCGAATAATATTTAATAGTGGAATTCAAACAATCATGAATTGAAATAAAAGTCATCTTGAATATCAGTAGTATTCTAAGTAGTAAATTGTAAGTGAAGATATTTGTGTTTATCAAATCAAGCAAATAATATCATATTTTTGATTGAGATCATAAACCGATTGATGTTGGACCACCGTTGGAAACCTGGATGCACTGGACAGCCGTTTTGTTCTATTGTGAGACTCCTCAGCAATGCGTATCCACAATCCCGCTCACGGGATTTGAACCCAGGGCTTTCAGTCTCGCGAGCTAACGCTTAACCTACTGAGTGACTGAGCCGGCATCCAAGGGTGTTAGTGTCAAACATCAATCGGTTCATAATCTTAATCAAAAACTTAACAATCTTCACAACCCCTATACTGATAACATAATATTTGCTAATATACATAATTATAGTTATACTAAACAAACTAAAACAATTCATTAGCTTTTAAGTTACATTTCAAAAAAGTCTCAGTGATTAAAAATTAATTTATTCGGAAATCTTCTTGAATTTGATTTTGATGTCTGCAGGGTTATCATAAAAGTTAAATTTGTTGAAGAGATGGTTTAATAAATAAATCATCATTTTCATTTCATTGAAAACTCTACATTTCTAATATAATTAAGAGTGAATTAAACACCTTGAATTAGTCAAATAAAGCTGAGAGAACTATAATGACGAAGGTACCACTCATAACACTCATTATGTGATTATATCAGGAAGTGAAGAATATGTTCAAGACAGACCTAATAAGAAAACCAAAGAAGATAAATGATATACTTTACCAATCAAAATAAAGGCTGAAACAATTAGACTTTTATGATTTGTATGAACAAAATTAGGGTGTTTATTATTATTTCTTTCACCACTAGGAAACTAGCAATATTGGCCTTCAAAATAGTTATTAATTGTTTCAAAATTTGTTGTCCCTTCTTTTTCATACTGAACATTCTTTGTTCTGATTCTATTCTCTTTGATTTTCTCAACCTTCTACCCTAAGATATTATACTTTCAGTTAGTGATATATACTATTTACATCTATCGACATCAGTATCACTCACTACACTATGCTTATAGTGCACGTAAAAAAATTATTTTTTTCTATTTTTTTCATATATTTCATATAGATACTGAAGTAGACAATCACATGAACAATGATCTAATTTTTCTAAGATGTAGCTACTCATTAGCAGCCTCAGCAGCAATAGGTCTGCATATACACAAAGAGAAAAGCAAGATTCTCCAATATAACACAACATGCACCAATCGAATCACACTTGACGGAGAAGATTTGGAAGATGTAAAAACCTTTACATATCTGGGCAGCATCATTGATGAACATGGTGAATCTGATGCAGATGTGAAGGCGCGAATCGGCGAAGCAAGAGAAGCATATTTACAATTGAAGTACATCTGGAACTCAAAACAACTATCAACCAACACCAAGGTCAGAATTTGCAATACAAATGTCAAGGCAGTTCTATTGTATAGGGCGGAAAGATGGAGAACTACGAAAGCCGTCACTGACCGGGGAGGGGCTTTAACAGGAGTAAGTAAAGTAAACTAATAATGCAATACCATTTTCTATCAATCAATAAATCAATAACCAAATAAATAAAAAGTATAACTTACATCAATCATTTTTTCATTTACTAACCATTCAAAATATTTAACAAATACATTATTTTTTAATTCAACAGCTAATTTCAATGTTTCACCTTGTTTACAAATATATTTTGATAATAATTCAGTAGAAAAAATATTATTATTATCATCTTCATGATCATGATCAAGATCTTTTATTGGTGATAAATAAGCAGTATCATATTCATTTGTTTTATATTGGTCATTAGGAATATCTTGTTTTTCACTGTTATTTAATTTTAAATCTAGAAAAAGAATTAATAAATATATTTGTAATAGTTAAAATCATGAATTAATTGAAACCAGATCATTATGATAAACTTGGTACAATTGTGAAACACTTCAGCAGTATGCATCCATGATCCCGATTTGCTAGATTTGAACCTAGTACCTATCGGTCTCGCTCATGAATGTTTAACCTGTAGACCACTGAGCTGGCATACAACAGTGTTAATGTATAACTTTAATTAATCCACGAAATTTAGCCACACGCCCATCATTGTCTTTAGTGCGTTAATATCTCACAACAGACCTGGTTGAATTTCATTGGTTACGTCTTCTCACTAGAACTCCAGGAAATACATCTTGAAGCCAGTCATTAGTGCGCATACGATGATCATCATTATGAAAAGGGGTTTTGTGGAGATTTTAGTAATTTCAATAGATGAAATCATGAGTCAATTGAAACTACATCATCATGGAAAACCTGAAAGCACTGGACGGCCGTTTGGTCCTATTGTGAGACTCCTCAGCAGTGCGTATCCACGATCCAAATTCGTGAACTCAAGACCTATCGGTCTCTCGCATGAACGCTTAACCTGTGGATTAATGAGCTAGTATCCAACTGTGTTAATGTCTAACTTCAACTTTTATCGAACTAGATAAGTTTATGATAAAATGTTTTAGGATCCATTGTAAAATAAAAAAAGAATAAAACTTTGTGATGTATAGTTAAATAATTTAACTATGAAATTAAACAAATCTATTGTATTGTTCAAATCTGATCTTGTTTTGTTTACTATGATTTTTTATTTTGGTGGAAAACAATGACATATGACAAGATATCCAAATGTCAGTATGAGGTTATGGAGATTATTGAGTTTTCACTTAAGATCATGAACCGTTTGATGCTAGACTATCATTGAAAACGTGGAAGCACTGGATGGCCGTTTCGTCCTAGTATAGGACTCCTCAGAAGTGCGCATCTCAATCGCACGATAAGGTAGTTATCTGCTGGACTATGTTCATTGAAGTTTACATATAGTAGGAGCTGACTACTGACATTTGTTTGGACTCAAGGTAGAAGATAGAGAAAATCTCGCGGATATGCAGACTAGTAGGACTGTAGTTTGCATTTGTTCAAGGTTCACTGTGTTGGTCGGAACGTACGGTGAGTCGAGTCTAGAACCCTAAGGTATGAATGAAATAGTAAATACGGAATATGAAAATCCATAGTCAAAATTCTGACTGATGAGTTTGGCACGTGATATCGATTAACATCGCAGGTCATGACGGTAAACAAGTCGAATTCTGATGACTTGTTTTAATACCTTGCTTTAGTCGTTATCGTGGTGTGTAACAACTAGCCTCAGTTATACCTAAAATTTTCTAGGCATCTTACAACGATTACTTTTTCTTAAAATTTTGATAATGACTACATAATAATTATTTGAAATAGCATAGGTAGGCTAACCGATTAGGTTCAGTTTTATAAAATGTGAAGAATTTCTAGATGTCCGTCGTTCATTAAAATTTATTTTAAATTAATAAGGCTATTGATGCTCAAAGAATTCTAGTGAATTTCTTAATGTTAAATCTCGGCTTGTTGAGCTGAGAATATACAGTCAATATCACTCATTCCGACATCTATTAGATTTTATGAGCTACAATTCATTTTAATCATACATCTTATGGAAGTCAATTGGTCACACACCTACGGGATTTATCCTAACCTTTGTTTCGGTGAGCTGATCTAAACTTTCCATATTTTCTGTCACCCGTAACGTACAAATTTAAGAACAATTATGTTAGAATTTCAAACTTACCGGATTTTAATTCCATACCCTTATATTCTTCTTTGACTTTCTTTTCTTCACTTTGGTCATCATCCATAGTGTTGGTTTCCATATATTTTTCTTCAGCTTCTAATGGTTCACACTGTACGTCATTTTTATCAACTTCTGTTATTGATTTTCGATGCTTCTTACGTTTTTCTACTTGTTTCTGGTCCTCAATCAGTTCTATTTTGTTTGGATCTTGTTCGCCGACTATTGATTGCCTTCTAGTGCTAACATAATTATCTTCATTTTCCTTATCAATATTTTTCGATTTTTCTCGTTTCTTTTTCTTTTCCTCTTTCCATTGTTTTTCTCTATTTTCTGCTTCATTCTGTAAAGCATCGGTTGTTGGCATCGTATCAAGTACTTCCTGATTGTTTTTGCCAATTTCTACTCCAACCAGGTTCATCTGTGTTTTCGGTTCGTTTCCCTCCTTGTTTTTTATGTAATCTTTAGCTAGATCTTCTTCATCTCCTGTAGTAGTAGTAGTAGTAGTAGTAGTACTAGTAGTACTAGTAGTATCAGCAACTGATCTATTCTTCTTTGTATCTTTTCCATGCTTCTTTGCCTTACTTTCTCGACGTTGTGGCTTCTGAAATGATTCTGTATTAATTTGTTGATAATCCTTAAATGATTCTGGTTTGTTGTTCACATGATTTTCTGTTGGATATTCTGTACTAACAATCGATTCAGTATTATCCATTCCTATCTTTCCGTCACTTTTCTTCTTCTTTTTAGTCTCTTGGCCAGTCTCGCCATCTTTCTCTTTCTTTTTATCCTTTTTAACTGATTTAAGTTCTAATCCACTGATCGTTACCTGATCAATTAAAGTTTGTTTATTTTGAGATGTTGTGCTTTCTGAATTGTTGAAATCTATTGTAATTTGATTGTGTACTGCTTTCACTGTCTCAGTCTTATTCTTGTCTTTTACATCATGGTGTTCCGGGAATTCTTCTGCTTCACTAGTGATTACTTCCTTCTGATTTTGGTCATCTAACTTATCTTCTTTTTCCAGCGTTTGCTTTGTTCTGTTCACTTCATTTTCCACTAAGATTTGACTAACTAGCTTTTCACTGTCCTTATTGTCATCCTTCCAAGTCGATCTACTTACCCTTCTCTTTTTACCTTTATCTAAAGTTTGTATTTCGTCGGATTTCTCCACTTTATTCTTTCCTTCTTCTCTCTTCTCGTCACTGAGTGACTCAGCTGTGTCACCTACTCTAACATCCACTTTATTTTCTTCACTATCTTTTTCTTCCCTATTAAATTCTCCAACTACCCTCTTCATTTCGGAATCGGTTTCTAGGACCGTTTTGATTTCTTCCCCTTGTCCTGTGTCTTCTGTTTGTTCTGTTACGCCCCTGATATTCTTCTTCTGAGATGTTTCTGATTCAGGCTTTAATTCAACATCTCCGACTGGCTTCGTTTTCATTCCGTTTTCCGCTTGATCCTTTGTTGGTACTAAATTCTTCTTCTTTTCATCCTTCCCTTCTTTGCTCTCTTTTTTATATCCTTCTCCATCCGTTTTATTCATGCTGCCTTCTTTACCTTCCATATCATCTTTCTTTGTCTTTGTTATTGATGCTTCTTTGTCTGCCTTATGGCTAGCTAACCTCTCATCTTCCTCCTCTTTATGTTGTCTTTTTTCCACTTCGTCCTTCTCTTTCTTTATCCCGGCAATCTCTTCATCCTTTTGCTTCTTATCAGTCTCTGCCTCCTCTTTCTTCATCTTGGTAACTTTCCTTTCTTTTCGTCGTAATTCAACTTCCTCTTTTCGCTTACTCTCAGCATCTTCTTCCTCCTTTCGTTTCCTTTCAATCTCTTCTCCCTCTATTTTTGCAATCTCTTCTTCTTTTCGTCTCAATTCAACTTCCTCTTTTCGTTTACTCTCAGCATCTACTTCCTCCTTTCGTTTCCTTTCAATCTCTTCTTCCTCCATTTTTGCAATCTCTTCTTCTTTTCGTCTCAATTCAACTTCCTCTTTTCGTTTACTCTCAGCATCTTCTTCCTCCTTTCGTTTCCTTTCGATCTCTTCTTCCTCCATTTTTGCAATCTCTTCTTCTTTTCGTCTCAATTCAACTTCCTCTTTTCGTTTACTCTCAGCATCTTCTTCCTCCATTTTTGCAATCTCTTCTTCTTTTCGTCTCAATTCAACTTTCTCTTTTCGTTTACTCTCAGCATCTTCTTCCTCCTTTCGTTTCCTTTCAATCTCTTCTCCCTCCATTTTTGCAATCTCTTCTTCTTCTCGTCTCAATTCAACTTCTTTTCGTTTGCTCTCAGCATCTTTTTTCTGCTTTCGCTTCATCGCAGTTTCCTCTACTTCCTTGTTCTTTCCTTCTTCCTCCACCTGTTTCTTTGAAGCCTCTTCTTCGTCTCGTCTCAGTCTAACGGTCTCTTCTTCTTTTCTTTTCGTCTCTTCGCTTTTCCCTTTCTTTAAATCTTGCTCCTCTTGCTTGAAAATGTTTTCTGCGTTCCTCTTCTTTTCTTCCTCTTCCTTTTTCATTGAGGGCACCTCCCGGTTTATTTCCTCGTCTTCCTTATTAAGAAGGTTTGTTTCAACCCCATCGACCATACTTATCTTATCTCCCTGTAAATTCTTCGCTTCTTTTTCCTTCTCTTTGTGATTTGACTTTTCACTCAGTGTAGCCTCCTCTTGTCTCACTGTTACTGCAACATTTGTACACCTAACGATATTATCTTTCAATGATTGTGAAACAGTCCAACATTTATATATACCACAATCGTTAGTTCCTGTCGGAGTTTTGGAAAGTTTGGCTATCCTTTCGTTCGACTGTTCACTGAGCTCAAGTGAACAATTATACTCACTTTCTTTCGACGGTAAATGATCACCTGTCAAAAGTTCATCTTCGTGTGTCCACCATACGACAAAATCTTGGTCGTGAGAACCATGTTGAATAGGTATATTTAATTGAAATGCATCACCCTCTCCTAATTTGACTTCAAAGATTCGATTATTTTCGACTGTTGCCTTATTTTTGTCGGTACAGTTCTTCAATTCAGTTTCTAATTCTTTAACTGTTGGACAATGAAAACTTACCGGTATGGTGATACTTGGTGCTGGAGACATAGAAGAATTTTCAGGCAGTCTTAACATACATGTGTAGTTGTATAACTTATCAGGTTGTAAATTATTTGTAGTTGATCGTAAAATAAACTGGTCATTAATTTTGAGCATTTCACACGTTGAACTAGGTTCAATTAGTGTTGAGTTTTGATACCAATTAACTTGAATATTTTCCTTATTATTATTCTCCATTTGTTTCAATACAGTTTCTTCATCAATCTTAACTTGAATTTCTAAAAGTTTACCTATTGGTAAATCTAATTCTTTGGTAAATGGATGAAATAAATCAGCCTGCATAAAATTTGTTAGTTTCAGCTGATCTGATTCATTATCATTTGCATCATTGCTATCTAGTTTGGCTGTTAGTATATTAACACAAAAATAAACAGCAGTTTCAGTGCCCTCAAAAAGACGACAACGACATGAATATGTTCCTGAATGTATCAAAGGATCAGCATTTGATATAAGTAAACGTGTATCACGATCCGACAATATCATTTCAGCACCTATATCAGGTTTCATTGGTTCGCCATTCATATACCAAGTTGTTTCATAAGCAACTGGACCAGTAATAGTGAATGATGCATTGAACTGAATTTGTTCACCAGCATTAACCGTTAACTGTTTAGCTAAAGTATCAGTTCCTGTCATATTAGTAGATGTAGTTGTTAATGGTTGAGTTTGATTTCCCCGATCTAGTCAGGTAATAGAAATAAAAATATAATTAACGATTAAATCTGCGAACTTCAAATGAGTAGGAATATAAACTTGTATCGTTCTGGCAACTTATAAACTATAGGTCGTGAAAATGTTGTTTGTCTGACGTGTTTGGTCAATAAATCCCTCTTAAGAAATAAAAACAAAAGTGTCTAGATGTAGGATAATTTTAAATGATTTCAGAGAAATATGACGCTTTATACTAAAATGACCAAAAATAGTGTTTAAAATCTAACTCACTATTCCCTTTGAACAAATAGAAGAGTTTAAATACATAGGCTTTCTAACAAAGATAAACCAACAGTCTCCTTGGAATAATCTCAGAAATTAAACGAAATATAGAATATGGATATCCATTCACAGAGAATATTGAATACAATTTGTGACATTTGACTAATACCCCTACCATAAACAATATAGAACATTCTTAATTTATTGATCAGGCTTTAAATACAGAAATGGCTTTGACCTAATTTATCCCTGATATTTTAATTAGTTTCCTAAAGATGTGGATAGATCGCCTAGTAAAGCTTTGGAACTAGTTGAATTTCAATCATTGAGGTCATTACAAACATAATTTTACATCTAAAGTCTATTTATTTGCGACTCAATCTCTGTGAAAATTATTATTCAAATCATGGAGAACGTTCACATTATTCTTGGGATTTACTTCGGGATTTTGAAATACTTTGTTTTTAACTGGTTGAAAAAAAATGGCTTCTTAAATAAGCTTAATGAGCTCAACTATCCTGATCTTTACTAATAGTGTCATTTTAAGCTGTTTTTAGTTATCGTATATGAAAAATATTTCAGAGATTACATTTATGTTATTTAGGCGTCATAAATAAGATCCATTTCCATTCTATTTTGTGCGAATTGAAAGATGTAATGACAAGGAAAAACAAAGCGAATATTCTATACGTAATCAACTTTAAGAACTATGAAAACATACGTTCGGAAATAATGATAAACCTTTTCGTTTACGCAAATATCATTTAGGGTGTCTAAAATCGAGGTATATATGAGTTCATATTAATTCTTGTAAACATCCATAGACAAGAATCAGGTTTAGGAAGTGCTGAAGCCTTAGTCGGGGAATAAGTAAAGAACACCGCACAGGCACCTATGTCACCTAGCAATCATTACCAATATTGAAATGAGAAGGATTGGTTCAGTGAATTCATTTTCAAAGCTGTACAATCACAAATATACACCTTATTTTCAAGATGATTATAGTTACAATAATAGATTCCGTTAAACATGGTAACAGTGAGTTAGAATAAAGAAAGGCATTAAAACGTTATTTTTATCAGGGAAACTAAAAATAGTTTTATTGTTGAAGATTTGAACAGTCATCATGAAGACAGATGGGGAAATTAAAATTACGGAAGAAAGGCTCAGTATAATAAGAAAAAATGTCGAAATCGAGGTGAAATGTAATCAGGAGGAACATAGAAAACAGAAACAAACCAGTTAGAGGTAAAAGGCCTATAGATCGGTTGGGTGTGAAGGTATAAGAGTATGAAAAAGAAATAAAATTTCGAGGGATTAAGACCATGCTAGAAGAACAGATTGCACCAGCTTCTTTTGGACACAATTCTGGTTTTTACAGACATTAAAATAGACATAATCTACCCGAGTATGAACAGAATAATCATTGAACAGAGGTCAAAGGTCAGATTGGGGAAAAAGGCTATATATGTATTTTATGTAATGTAACTTGTTGACAGCCTGTTTCAGAATGATAATGAAAAATTTACGATCAAACTATCCAACTCAAAGAATGAAATACTACTCGAACTTAATATTTATGTGAAATACTTTAACCTATAGCAATAAACATGGATCCATATGAATTATTACGTAAAATGTAGTTGAGGCATAATGGTGATTGATATTTAGGTTTGTGAGGCAAACATAACCTGCCTCATAGGAGCAAGTATGTTTATAGATGCACATCGACTTGGCCCAAAGTGAAATTTTATCCTTAACACATACGTGAATGGTAGGCCAGACTTCATTCAGCTAAGCTCTATATTATCTTCTTATGTGATACTTTTCAAACGAATCTCAGAACACTACCCGACGTGGTTTAAAAGGGAGAATGCAAAACAGTTACCAATTCAATACACGAGCATCTAATATACTCTGGACTCATCGCTCCAAAGGAGTCTTCCTTTAAAATAATCTACCCAATCAAAGGAGGTTGAATTAAAAACTTATGCACTGCTAGGACGTTGGCCATCCGCCAATTCAACGCCGAACTCTGCATTCAAAAACGATACGTCTAATCTCTCATCCTTTCTTGGCCCTGGTTCCCTTGTGTAGGGTGTTTTGGTCTTGTTATTTTCTTTTAATTACTGTTCTATAACTTTACACCGTAATCATTTATTATTATCCTTTGACAATTTTTAATAACTAGTTTTCAATTAATATGACCTTTATGTATTTCTGTTTTTTTCTTATCTGTCAAGCGGACATTTATCTTTCATAATTCTGACCCGTAAATTATTTTCATCCCTCTATTCTTCTTCTAATCCCATGATTATTGCGGAACCTCATTTGATATTGAGATTACTGAATCACTTTATGATGCGATCTTTTTTAGCAATCTACTGAAGTTCATGTGAATAAGATACTTTCATTTTAACCAGGCATCTGGCGTTAAATATTTCGACAGTCTAACATTTGTGTTTTATTTGTTTGTTGGTAAAATCAATTTTAAAAAATAAGATTTTAAGATAATACTGTTCGAACGTACTTTCAGGAGACATTTGGAAGTCTGCAAGAGATTGTTGATCCTCTGAAAACGGAGTCTGTACACCATCCAATGTTGAATAAGATTCTTGATAATGAAAAAAACAGGTGAAAATTGTATGATCTAAAATCACAAGTAATTACGATGAAGTCATGATTATTCTCTGAACAGATACATGAAAACTTTGATGAAAACCACAAAAAATAATAAGCTAGCTGAATACGTTCCCACATCATTTCACATGACAGGAATAATTGAATAATATCAATCTATATTTGATATCAATAGTTGAATTCATGAGTCAATTGGATCTAAACCACCATGGAAAATCTTGAAGTACTGGATAGCAGTTTCGTCTTATTTTGGGACTCCTCAGCAGTGAGCATTCACGATCCCGCCTCGCGAGATTCAAACCCAGGACCTATCAGTTTCACACGCGAGCACTTAACCACTAAACCACTGAGCCGGCATCCAACGGTGTTAATGTCTTACTTTAACCAGATCAAATGAGTACTTAACTTTACATTTATATAATTAAATTAAGGTAAATTCTTTACAAACACCTTCACATAAAGAATAGAATTATTTCAAGCAAAATTTAAATTTTGTTATATTAAATCACAGAAACAACTTACCGAACAGATTTGTAGATGGAGCTTGATCTTTTCCAATCTCATCTATTGGTTCCTCAGCAGTATAATACGATGAGGATGAAGTAGATTTTTGATTAAATGAAGCTGTAAAGTAAATAAGGTAATCTTTTTTATGAAGGTAATTAATTGAATAGTTAAACACGCTAGTATGATGACTTATATGATTTTGATTTCAACATTTAATTAATACACTTTATTCAAGTGTTTTCATAAACTCTTTCTCATTATTAAATAACCGATTCGATTCTCGATACTTAAGTACAATTTAGGCAGAACTTATGCTTACCATTTCATATTGATATTCCAAATAAGACAAAACATCTCAGTTCTACAAGAGGTCAGTCGCGGCCCGGATAGCTCAGTGGTAACGTCTCTGATTGTGAAGCTGGGTGACACGGGATCGAATCCATCAAAGAGCACCAGTTCCTTTAGCATTTCAGGTACACCTTGCTGACGACTGCTAAGTGGCACAGGACCTAGGTCCAGAGATTCCTGTTGACTACCTCCAACCAACATTTAATCTCAACAACGTACACGCAATGTCGAGTTACCTAAACTGGTGACCACATTGTGACTTGGTCAATAGGATTCGGTTTTCACCAAGCAAGACCTGACATACATGACATTGATCACCACTCAGTGATCAATCATTTGTAAAGACAAAACTCATATCTTGAATTTCACCGTCTGTTACATATAATCTATTCCAGTTTAAATGATAACAGTCATTTAAACATATTAGTTGTCGAATTGTAATATATATGATGAATACTATTTCAACAATTCAAATGAAATTTTGTAACTCTTGTCAACACAAATGATTTTTATCAATCACTTTCATTGGATAAACAACAAGATTTTACAAAATAAAATGAGATTTTTCTTTTATATTTGATGAATTTATAGTAAATAATGAAAAAAGAAAGAAGGCAATCCAATGAAGGAAACTAAGTAAATAATTCCATATTAATCCGAGAAATTCCGCGACCATCTTCCATTGTACTGAGGTAGATACCTGTCTCTACCCGACGCGGATTGGCTCATCAATCGATTCGTGATCAAAAACTTGATAATCTCCACAACACTATACTGATGATTTCATATTAGCTTACTACAAACTACATAGAATAACTTGATGATTAAATATAAAGATTTAACATATTTAAGTTAATTAAGTTCAGTTAAATGTTTAAAATTGTACAGAAGTGCTTAAGAAGATCTAAAAGAGACAAAATATGTCATTAAATATATTACTTAAGAGTAAGGTACTTTTTTTAAGTTTAAAAACTGGTCATATAAGTTCAGCATAATTAATAATAACCATAACCATAAATAGATGACAAATAAGACAAGAATATTATTATCAAAAAGTGTTTTGTGGAGATTTTAGTAATTTTATAGTTGAATTCATGTGTCAGTCAAAGCTAGACTACCATGGAAAACCTGAAAGTACTGTCTCCAAGAGGTATTTCCTAGAGTTCTAGTGAGAAATAGTGACCACTGGAGTTCAACCAGGTCTGTTGTGAGATATCAACTCACTTAAGACAAAGGTGGATGTGTAGCTCAATTTCGTGGATTGGTTGAAGTTAGACATTAACACCGTTGAATGCCGGCTCAGTGGTTTAATGGTTAAGCGTTCGCGCGCGAGACTCATATGTCCTGGGTTTGAATCTCGCGAGGCGGGATCGTGAATGCTCACTGCTGAGGAGTCCCAAAATAAGACGAAACTGCTATCCAGTACTTCACGATTTTTCATGGTGGTTTAGATCCAATTGACTCATGAATTCAACTATAAAATTACAAGAATATTAGGTTGTTGATTTAACGTTAATGGATCTATCAGAATAAGAGTACGTAATAAGTGAAATTATTCTGTTGAAGTTGTTTCAACCAAGAATGTCATAGATAATACACGAAGAAGTGAGGTGATGAAATAATTGAGAACATTTCAATATTCTTTTAGACAACATAGAAAAAGTACTTTAAATAGAAGTGAGCAATTAGAATTTCTTATTGAAATATATACTAATAAGGTTGCTTATAAATAGAATGAAAGCTTTATTACTAAACTGTTATATTTTAACAACATAATGTTTCTAAAATACTTATACTGAGCTAGAAATATTCTCTATCATCTACCAATAATATAAGTCGCTGAAATTAAAATGAAATGTTATCATTGTGGTTATAGAAACTTTAATTTACTAAAGACATTACTTTCTATTTTTCCTCTCCTATTTACTTTAACCCTTAACCTACTTGTCTTATTTGCACATATTCTTCGTCTACATTTCATACCGATTTTATTTTATCTTATTATGTTAAACAAACCTTTTTCGCAGCCATTTTTTAATTTGATTAAAATATTCGTAAAAAAGATTTTTAGAGCTGCGATAAGTTTAATGTTGTAAGTAACTCCTTAGGATCTCCTATATGAACATGAATTTATAGAATACTGTTTTCATGACTGAGAGCAAATGTTATACACATATTTGATGGAGTTTCGTCCTCTGAGCTACAAATCTTTTCCACTATACACATACTTCTTTGGTACAGTTTAAAGTACTAATGTGTAATTATGTAAGATGATTAAACAATCAGCTAACTGACCTGAATTGATGAGACGAGCGAGAATACAGTAGTCGGCTCCATAAGTTGAAGTTAATAAGTTAATAAACAATGATATTACTTAGGCAGTCAAGTTGTCATTTGCAATATTGAACAATAAACTTGTAGAAAAATAATTTATATCAATGTTTATCAAAAACATGAACTGATTCAAGGCAGACAATTTTTGACAACTTGGGACTCCTCAGCAGTGAAAACTAGGAACCTCGTGTGCAGGAACCGACTCCAGGATCTTCAGTCTCGTGAAAGGTGAAGATAAACTGTATCGAGTATGTTGTGTATTTTAAGTTCGGCTAGTCATCACGTGATTTATTCGCCAACCGACTTATTCAATCTTAGTACTGTGTTAAACCAATGAAGTTCGACCGGTATGTGCAGCCTAGCGTCCTTATTGGTCCTTTGCCCGCCTATCCCTGATAGTTGAGTCCAGAACATCAATACCACCTTCCACTATGCAAATCAAATACTTCAAACATACTTGGTCTGTATACCAGCCAAACAGACCGTATCACACCACTGAATAGGAAATAACATTTATACAATATCAAGCCAAAAAGTGGCTGTGAACGTGGGAGACGTTAGTCAATAAACTGAACATAAATTAAGAACAGTAAATAATAATCCATAGGTCAAAGTAAAGCTTATAATAAGAGGAATATAGTTACTGAACAGTTTCACAATAGGAACACACATAAAATATTAGTCTATTAATAGCTCTCAGAAGTTACTTGTAGTTTAGTATTCACTAGGATATAACAGGGTATGAGGTAGTCACCTACTGATGATGGTCGCGCAATACCGTGGAATGAATGAAGTAAGACATTAGCGATGTTTTATGTCGACACCGTAGCCTAAAGTTTGGGCGCCGGGATTCAGAACATAGTGTCCTTGGTTCGATTCCTGTATGTGGGTCTGTGTATGTATAATGCTGAGGAGCTCAACACTAGTACGAAGAGCTCGTCTAGTGCTTTCAGGTTTTTAATGGTTTATTAACGTGTATCAGTTTATGGTTTTAATGAAATTCAACAATTTACACAATCTACACAGTTATGATTCTAAATTGATTATTCAAGTAGATGTTGGTTTCGAAGCTACTCTGAAACTTAGTGTATTCATCCTTGTTTCGTACTTTAACTGGTAAATTTTTATAGTTACTTAATTTTCAAAAAAACTCTGAGTATTTCCCAATTGATTCTGAAGTGTCAGAAATCTTGAAATTAATATTTTTCGTCTTCCTAAAAGAAGCCGGAATTTTTAAAAGCTCCTAAATTTGTTTTAGATCTTGTCTTTTAATACATTCATCGTAATGCTGACTAAGCAATCGTTTTCTGGAGTTGTCTATCAATTAATTAAAATATTTCACATGATTCTGCTTCTGATGTTGGTCTGATCAGTAATCCTTGTTGAAATTACTGTGTAGACAGAGATTTAAAAAATATTAGTGGGACTACGATTGTTCTTAATGATGATATGGACTGGGAAAAATCAACATTAACGATGATACATTTCTGCATACACAGGAATCTATTGCCACATCATAAAAGCGAATTGCTTTTCAATGGTAGAATTCGCTGAGTTTATTATATTGAATAATTTACCTTGAATAAGTTTCATGATAGGGTAAGAAATTATTCTAGTTTTTAAAAGTTAAAGTCAACTCTTGGGACGTATTAAATTACATTTTATTATTCGCTGATATTCACTTGGAATATATGTCTTCTATCGCAAAGACGTAGATCCAGTGTTATAGATTAATACTAATGGTTTAACTTAACAGCGAATGCAAAGATGGATAGTGGCTAGCCATGGAATCTAGGACGTGCGTTTCGTCCTATTTGGGACTCGTCAGCTGGATGTATCTTCATCTCAGAGCCTATATTAATGTACTTTTATCCATTTAACTTAGTCAACAAAAGCTATAACAGGGTTAGAAGCGTTAACGCTTCATGATAAAATTCACGTTATGATAAATCATAGGTAGCTAAAGTAACTTAAATAGTTTACATACATACAGTATTCATGAATAGAATAGTTTTAGTTATATTAAACTGCCTACACTTAAACTTGCTTATCATACAACCTCAACAAAATATATTATATAGGAAAACTCAAAATGTCTGTTCATTATATCCCCTAGAGGCTAATAATCAAAATGATGTATGTTAGATAGTCTCTAAACTTATGTAATCGACAAGTAAATTTGATTCTGGTTAGTTGGTTTTCGCTGAAATTCTATGATTTTATATAATGTCACATCAAGATGGTCACGTATTCTTTTTTCAGGCTATAAGGTTGGGAATCTGCATAACAGGGATAGTTTAGAAAACGAGTTTAATCTTGTAGGCTAGAACCTCTGTAAAGGGAAGAGGAGAAAAGATTTACTTTCCGTTTGAGACTAATGTTTACATTAAAAATGCCCATGAAAAGTCTGGCCACGAAACACTTCTCATCATACTAGCTTTCAACTGTTTTAAAACTAATTTGCTAACGTTTTTAGTGAGACTATCATTTAACCAAGTAATGATAGCAAAAATTTATCCCATATTATATGTAAGAATAATCTGTAACATAACATTAGGTTATAATTCAAAGAAATAAACATGAAATGTGAACATGCCAATTTTCAGAGAAGACAGCAATTCTACGAGGAAAATAAAGTGAAGAATTAGTGATTATCTACAAACCAACTAACAGTCAAGTTGAGTTCCTTATTGACACAATCAATCCAGTCTTAATGATATCTATTATTGGGGACGGAACAACAAAAGTGCAATGGCGTATTTTACCATAGAATAATAAAGATCTAGTAACCTGTTTCTCCAGCTGGGGTTTACGTAAACCCAAGTCCCAAATGGGACGAAACGTGCGTCTTTCATTCCACTGCTAGCCACCATCCATCTTCGCCTAGAATGCTTGTGAATCAAGGCAATATCGAGGCAATACACACAGTATGTACATATGTCAATAAGACTGATCAACTGAGATCCTAAATAACAATGGGAAGATACAAGTAAAACAATACTAAGTGAATTTCAACTTCATCCCATCGCATAAGCAAGTGACTGTGAGGACTCAGTAGTAAGCGGATAACACGATGGAGTTTGAAGCGAACGGTACTGGGTTTAACTGCCACAATGAACATCAACTCTGGGATGCAGTTACATCCAGCTGACGAGGTCCAAATAAGACGAAACTCGCCTTGTCCTGAATTCCACTGTTAACCAATATCCATCTTTGCTTAGAAATTGTATGTTAGTTTAAACAATTAGAAAACTGTCAAGTAATATTCGGGCATAATCATATTTTCATCTTTTTGAAAATAAAATTAATTAAATAAACATTTTATTTAAAAGTACTTACTTTTAATCACTTCACATTTATCTATTTGTGATAACTGTGATGCATGAACATTTTGAGAATTAATTTGTTGAACATTTTCCATTGCATCAAAATACATTTCACTGACAGATTCACTAGGACACGATGGAAGTTCCATTATTCCACTGAAACGTTTCTTTGAATTCCAATATGCTTCAATATGTGAACTGACAATTGATTTTGGTATATTTGTATCTTCTATAGAGTTATTAACTATGAATGCGAAAATTTTGTTTGATTATTGAGTTTAAATGAATGGAAAGTTTAAAAATTTATACCGTAAATATTGTGAGAGATGTAAAATAACCATGTAAATCAATGAAACGAACTAGTGTTTTCTAGATACATTCTGAAGAAATTGAAAATTAAAAAAAAAGCAAAGTCATTCAAGAACTTTTCCTCTTGAAATTTTTTCAGAATTTATCATCTGGTTTGCTTTCAGTGAAATAGTCTTGTTTCTGTTTAATATCGAACTAAACATACTAATACTACAATTGGTATTAATAATAACAACTATGGAATCGATTGTGTAGGTGGTATATTGAACTGAAGATACACAAATTTTAAGTAAATTTCCATATTCATATGCCTATTTAATATAATCTGTGTGTATATGCGTATAATAGGACTGAAGGAAAATTGAATAGATTCACAATTATTATAGGCAAAAAATGGTTTTCTGTGCAACACACATAAATATAGACATTTGTACAGTCTGACACCAATATATTTTAATGTGCAAATCGAAAAGGGCAGAAGAATTGTATATTAACTCTTGAATTTTGTCAAGAAGAAGAAAATAAAAAGGTGGAAACTGTATTAAAGTATTTCAACTTATTTTAAGATATCAGAAAGTGGTATTTACTTGGAAATTAACTTATATATTAACACTTTATGACAAGCATAGCTTACCATGTAACAATAGTATTTAGATGAGAGCTAATGTACAACAGATATGTATGCTATTCGACTGAGTTATAGGTAGATAAATCATTACTATCGTATTAGATTGAATAGTTTTTACTGTCATTTGCAGGAAATTTGCTGAATAGATATTTCAGTAGTTGAGTTCATGAGTAAAATGAAGCTAGACTGCCATGGAAAACCTGGAAGTACTGAACGGGCGTTTCGTCCTATCATGGGACTCCACACCAGCGCGCATCCACGATACTGCCTGGCGAGACTCGAACCCAGGATCTATCAGTCTTGCGCGCGAACTCTTAGCCATTAGACCTTCAGTGAGAAGCAGTGACCAGTGAAGTTCAACTGTGTCTGTTGTGAGATGGTAACTCACTGAAGACAATGGTGGATGTATCGCTCAATCTTGTGGATTAGTTGAAGTTAGTCAGTAACACCGTTGGATGCCGGCCGGCTCAGTGGTCTACAGTTTAAGGGTTCATGCGTGAAACCGACATGTCCTGGGTTTGAATCTTACGGGGCGGGATCGTGAATGCGCACTGCTGAGCAGTCCCACAATGGGATGAAACGGCCGTCCAACGCTTCCAGGTTTTCTATGGCGGTCTAGCTTTAATCGCCTCATGATCTCAACTATTGAAATTACTAACATATCCGCGAAAACCCCCTCTGAATAGATATTTGTTTATTTATTTATAATCAAAAGCGAGTAAACATTCTAATGAACATTCAACGAATCAGTAAACAAGATATAATTCCATGTGATATCTTGCAATTTCCAGTTTACCCATATTAATCAGTGTCAGCTCTTAGTGAGATCTTACAAAATGATTATTTTGTTACTAAAATTTAATTCACAGTTACGTTCAAATAGATCATTGGGTTTTATGTATTGAACTAGTAGCAAAGCCTTTGAAGGGATAGGTGAAGTCAGTATAGCGATAGTTACCATCAACTTGGAAAATTTTATATCTTGCAAATATTTCATCCAAAACCGTTTTCTTTAAAGCGATTTCATATTCGTAAACTATATAATCGCATTTATAAGAAATAAATATTGTTTGTCTCTTCGCATAACCTATACAAAATAAGTAGAATATATGAAGCGAAGTAAAATTCGTTGTTTAGCAAATCATCAAGCTAAACTGAAGGTACATTTAATACCTCTAACACCCATCTAAAAGTAATTCAATGGGAAAATATTTATGGACGAACTAATGAAAATCAAAAGATAACAAGTCTTGAATTTTGCAATGAAATTCATCCATCCATATGGTTAAATATCGTTTTGACATTATAGCTGATGTCAGTTTGTGGTAAGAACTCAGAATCATAATTCCTCACACTAATTTATAGCCTTTTTTACTTTATTAAGCAGGTGAACTTTTTCAAGGTCAATTTGGAACCCCACAAAGACCATCCATATATTATAGTCTGATTAATTTTTACTTTTTGAAACTATTGACAATGTTTATTTCTTTGATCCTTATATGGCATAAAAATAGATTGAAAATATTTCAATATAGCAGATAAGAAACTTTGGATTCATGCAGATATTTTATTAGCTGGTATAGTTAACCCAATATAAGTAGTTTATTAAATTAAAATTAATGCGATTGTCGCAATAAATCGATTTATATATATGAATAATGAATAGTGGATAGGTTACAACGGTGAAACTATAATTTATGGACGACCTTTGAGCGACGCTAAAGTGACCTTGAGAGTGTTCACCTAATGATGGTTATAAACTAGTGTGAGGAATTCGAATTATGATTAACAGTTGGTGGTTAGGGCTAGGAATTAGATTTAGGGTTTTCATCATGAACTGACATTAACTATAATGCCAAAACTCTGGTTAGCCAAATGGATGGGTGAATTTCGCGCCAAAATCCGAGACCTGTTATCTTATACGCGATTGGTTCGTCCATAAATTATAGACAAAAAACTTGAAATCTAAACAAAAATAACGAATTTTCTATATACTTTAACGTTTGTTTCTATTGTGTAACTTAACTCTTAGGCTTTCTTTCTGTTGATGTCAATCACTTAAAATCATACAAAATACCCCATATAGTTGACTTATTGTTTAATAGCCACTATTAAACATTGATCCAGCTTATTTTTACCAACATTATGAACATGATAATATGACAATGATTATTCTAAATCATCTGACAATTGAAACTAATCAAGTAAACCATGAGGATTGTATAGTTTGTAAATAATAAGTTCATCTAGTCATTAACGATTGAAAAACTTAAAGTTTGAATTAACCAAGGGATTTTTTGTTCATATATTAATTAAGTATATAATGACTTTCATTAGGTTGGTAATTAATACATTCCCAACTTATTTAAATAAGTAGATTCTTACAACAACTGTTTTAATTACTATTTATATTCAATTTCTAACGATATTTCTTAATAGTAATGTATCATTTGAAATAAATTGCTTAAATACTAAAAGGATTAACATTTACATAAATCATATTCAAATGGAAGGTACCCTTTACTATGAACATTTAAAAATTAGGATGAGTAAGCACTGAAGATTTATGTATATATTAATCTAATGAGTGATGATGGGTACTGAACGTTGTGTTGACAATTTCAGTTAAGTTACACTATTCTACTTTCTATTTAATATTCAATTTATTCACAGTGTAAAGGTTTATGTATTCTATTTCGAAACTAATTTCAGTTGCATAAAGTTTAGTGATATTACTCGATTTTTTTAACTGAAATAGTCAAAGTGGTTTTTTTTTAAAGTTGCCTACTGATCAATATCTTGGATTATATCCCATTATTCTGACTAGAAAGTGATTGATTATGAGAATTATAATGAAAGTATCATTTACATAAATTCTCCGATACAACACAGTATAAACCAATGGAATGACACTTGACGGAGAAGATTTGGAAGATGTAAAAACCTTTACATATCTGGGCAGCATCATTGATGAACATGGTGAATCTGATGCAGATGTGAAGGCGCGAATCGGTGAAGCAAGAGAAGCATATTTACAATTGAAGTACATCTATGAGGCTTTATATAAGTTAACTCTGATTGATTTGCTGAAGGCTATCAATACTGTTACCATCTAATATCACTTAAAAACATGGAGTATCCACTACAATTTGTACAATCGAATAAAAGCCAACCCAATCATAATGGAAAATAAAGCAAATATTGTAACAACCTAATTAGTACTACAAATTCATAAATGATTTCTAAACATTAGATGTTTGATTTATCTCATTGTTGGTATTATTGACTGAATTTTGATCAGTCTTTGTTGGATTATATGTACTCTATGAGGAATGCCTCGTTGCACTTAAGTATGTCCAGATTATGGATTCCAAATAAGATGAACCAGCTCTCCTGGACTCTACGCGAAATCATAATACATTGATCATAAATTACAAAAATTATCATATGCACAATATAAACTTTTAATTTCCTGAATTCAACCAAGAATATCAACCCTAAATCAAAAAGGTAATCCAATTCACTAGATTTGATGACAAATCCTTTGTAGAAATAATTGATAAAATCATAATTTACTGATTCGTTTATTAAGCATTGTATGCCGAAGTTCAATAACTCACGTTTTTCTTTGATTGCGTATCTTATATCTTCAACCCATGCATTACGACTAATAATATTGGGACAAGTGATACGAAAAACTAATTTAATTGGAGCTTCGCCTGATATATTCCATAATTCAAATGATGTTTCATCATTTCCATCGTTGCCATATTCACCAATACGAAGTTCATCAAGCTTTGAATGATAAAACAATAAATTTTTTTCAACAGAAAACATTCATTAGAAACATTTATTTATTTATTCAAACACATAAACATAGATACAAGGAGGCAGCAGATATATATGCGCCACATAAATCATTCGATTTATGTGAGGGCTGGGATGCCGTCCGGATGCCCGAACCGAAACGGGTGGTTTTCTCAGGGGACCACATCTGGAGCCTTCAACTTAAAGGTTTAATTCACAAAGCACTGGAGCAACGTCAGGAGATGCAGGTCCATGGAAGCTGGTGATCAACAAGCGGTTCATACCTCATTTGTTCCCTCAGAATCCTGGAGCCCATGAGCGCCACTGGTTTGGAATGAGGGTTTTCCAACTACCTTAGGTGGATCCTTCATATCCACCAACCCGGTTTAAGCTCCGGAGATTCGCTTTCGTCCTCTCAATTTCGTAAACAACACCCGTGGTGCAAGAAGGCAGTGAGTAGGAATTCCCTGACAGTGGTTGTATGCAAGTGGCCATGTGATAGCATTTCGTGTATATTGTAGGTTTAAACTAAGAAAAACTGAATATATATAATACAAGAAGCAAATATTTATATATCAGGATGTGCTTGTTAGCCAATTAATTGGAG